CGAGACAGAGAGGCGTCGTTTCATCAGCCCTGCGACACTCAACACTCAGGTAAGAGTCATCGCGAGCCACAAAAAATCCAGACTTGCTTCCCAGAATGTTTCTTTTTTTTCTTTTTTTTTCTTTATTTTTTTAATTAAATAAGATTTATGTTTGTTGCTATAAGCCGCGCTGCAAAGTTACTTTGCCATCAGTGACAAATACGCTGCACTGGGTCATTTATGTGTTACTGTTTATGCCGGAATATTTTGTATCCTTTGTTTCATGAAACCTATTTGTTTGAAGTGAAAGCAAATGGATGACTGCCCTGGTGACTTTTCAAACAGTCTGGTTGAAGTGTCACTGACACAAAGCACAGACACTTGTATTGTTTGAGCCTCACCATTTTAACAACAGACCTTTTTGTTGGATTCAATGCAGCAGCTTAACAGCCTCTGTTTGCCAGTTGTATTTCTACTCTAAAGATAAAATGGAGACTCTCAGATATCATGTAGCTGGTCTGACTTTGACCCACATAAGATCTTGTTGTCAGATATTGGTATTTTCCGAGGCCTGTAGTCTCTGATTGTGCTTTTTTGCTGATATTAGATATCTTTGTTCAGCCAGTCTCGTGCCAAAGAATTTCAAATATTCACCCAACTTTACAGAGGCGACAACTATGATCAGCTGTGGTTGTGTCTGTGTAACTTTCAGGTCTTTTGTCAGCCAGCAGTTGAGTTGTGGGTTGGATCGTAAATCTGCTGCGAAAGGTGTCAGCCATGGCACATGGCTCGGAGAGGCTTTGGGTGCAGACATAGGTTTTATTTAGTTTTGTTTGTTTGAAAGTAGTTGTACGTTAGCACATACGGACACAGTTGAGTGAGCAGACTGGGCTGTACCACTTAAGATATTGTGATGGCAGAACGTAGAGAGAAGGAGAATTATATCAATAAGACCTTACACAGTGTTAGATAGGCTTGTCTGTGGAACATTTGACCATTATTTGGGCTATAAAGCAAAGTGTTGCTGAGCTGGACTCTGTCTGTAGTCCCTTTGTTTGTATCTCATGCTCAGACAGCATGCACACAATGGATGCACGCCACAAGCATGGCAATGATGCGATACATATTTTTGCCAACTGCACAGGGTGGTAACAGTTGGTGGTATTCCAGTTGACCCTTTTTGTACTCCATTTGACCCTCCAGAGATTTTGGAAGTGGCCCAGTATGTGTAACAGAGCTTATTAATGTTAGTGCCAGTGGTGTCACAGAGAAACAGCAGGATGGGCAGTAGAAACCCTGTGGTAAGAGATGTGGTGTTAGCTCAGCAGTTTAGCTAACAGTAGGTTCCTCAAAATCAAACTTTGCCTCGGCTTTTTATGCATGTTGTCTTCACTCCAGTTTAATTTAAGTTTTAGTTCATTCTTCTTTGTTTTATCTCAGTTTCTCCTTTGCTTTTATAAATAACTTAACAAGACTAAGAATCTACAAGCAAGCTAGTGGCTCTTTGAGGCTGTAGATCTGTGCTCAAATGTCAACACACTGGTGTTTGTTTACTATGGTCACCATGTTAGTTTAGCATGTTAGCATAACACTTGCTAAGTAGCACAAAATACAGTAGTAGAGTAGAGCCTAGACTGATGGACAATTAGGTATTCAGTTATAAACCCAAGTATTGGACAAGTTAAAAGTTTGGCCTCATGGTGGTGCTAGGCTAGCAGCAGGGGATCAGCACTGTCATGAGGATTTATCCTCTGGGGACCATGGATGTGTGAACCACATTTCATGTTTAATTGTCAAGACCTTTCACACTGGACCAAAGTAATGGACCAACTGACCGATTGACGGATGTTGCCATTCCTCGAATCTCGCTTCTTTTGCGGCTAAAAACAACATGAGCTTTCTTGTCATTCAAGCGAACAGCTCATCGGTGCCTCTGCAGCTGTGAATATATTTCAGAATGAAAGTAGGAGAAACCTTAAACTGAATATTAGGTGTTGACACATATACAGTACGTCTATGTCTGGGCAGCAGCCAGAGCGAGATTAAAGAAAAAAGGATTGTTTGACCTCCATAAGATGAGACTGTCGGCAGAGACCAGTCTCAATAAAAAAAGACCAACAGATCAATGAACTGGATCAGCCTGAGAACAAACTGCCTTTTATTTGTGTGGAAAACAGATGAAACATCAGTCTGTTAGATGGAGAGGAAGAGAAAAAAGAGGTTGGAATCAATGAAATGAAGAAATACTAGGGAAACACAGGAAACACAAAGGTGGAAAGAGAAAGATAAAGACTGAAAAAAACAGGAGTGTCAAATGGAAGTAAAATGAATGCGTGTTTGAAGGAGGGATTTCCCGTGCAGCAGTTGCAACAAGTCAACATCACTTCCTTTTTGGTGGAAATATACGTCTCTCTTCCTCACTGAACCCACCCAACTCCTTCAGCCCCTTTCTCTATCTCATTATTTATTGAGGATGGCAACAGAAGGTAGTAACAGCAGCCACAGCAGGAAACTGACTGACTGCTGGTAAATCTCTAGTCCCATTCCCTCATAGCAGCAGAATACAGAGTACAGTAAACATTACATTTCTAAATTTGTGCCTGAAATCAGCCCTTGATCTATTTAATATACTTTCAGTTTACAACTGTACATGACAAGTGTTTCAATTCACTGTTCACAATCAAGCATCCTGGTGAGTTTTTAGCCATGCGAGCAGCGCAGTTCTGTGGATGACATTGTCAGTCTGTCAGTCACTTTGGTTCAGAGTGAAATATCTCAGCAGTTACTGGATGGATGTTCTTGAAATTGTGGACATTCGCAGTCCTCTGAGGGATAATCCTGAGGACTAACTTTTCCTACAGCACCAAGCAGGTCAAAAATTCCACTTATTCTGTGAAATATCTCAACATCTACTGGAAAAGATTGGCATTAAATTTTTGTCCAGCACCACCATAAGATTGATATTTGTGATTTTGTAAGCTGCTAGCATGGTTGTAGACTCTGTGTTGTTATTACGTTAGGAATAGTGTATCAGTGAATGGGGGACTAGTTTCAGACATGGCTCAAAACTCAAGAGTCCAAATGATACTGATAGAAAACTATTAACTAAATCATATGAGTAAAGTAGGAATTTGACCATTTGTCAAAACTCAATGTAAATTGTCTCAGGAAAAGTGACGTGCAAAATCTCCCAGGTCAAGGTCAGGCCAGAGACCTCAGTGATGCTCTGCTTGAGGGTTACTGGTCAATGTTTAACCGTATTGTTCAGCCAGTTATTTCTTGAACGTTTTTCTGCGTTTGTTAATATCAAATGCTACAGTAAGTCATACTGTATAAATGACTAAGCACATCAAGTTGTGATATGCAAAGCGCAGGCACAGGAGCAAAGACAACATAGCAAGAACTCAAGAGCACTTGATCTTTATTTACAAGTTTGTGCAAAACCTCAGTTTGGTGATTGAATACAGAAATTTAATTTGACAAGCTAACAAAAAAAAAAAAAAAAAAAAAAACAAAAGAAAAAAAAACACTGGCTTGTTCATGTTTGTACAGAACATAGTTGGTGGTTTAGTATGGACCCGGACCACCATTACATAATATAGCTGAGTCATGCTGCTGCTTGACACTGCTGTTTGTTATGTTGCATATTACATTTATCATGGGTGAAGCCGTACCCTGTTTTTGCTCAACTCGGTTCAGTAACCCTTATTTATACAGGAGGAGACACGCTGGGTGTGCCATGGTCTCAAGGCAAAAATAATACAGTGAGGAACAAAGATATAGGAGTAAATCAAAGTGAAGGTTTAAATTATAGTTTAGTTAAGTGCACGCTCTAAAATGTGAGCAAGGAAGACAGCAGAGGACAGATTTTTATTTCAGGAAAAAATGAGAGGCTATGTGTCAGCAACCTCTTAACAAAGTCGTGAGGACTTTTCATCAGGCATTTCAACATTTTTTTTTATCGTGATTGTTTTGTTTTTTCGAATGTGTGTTGCTCAAATTAACACACTGAACAGCACATGGTACCGTGATAGCTGATGATGAGCTCATTCAGTGCACTTACAGTGCAGTTGGAAATTGCTCAGACCCCTTCTGGAAGTTTCTCCAATCTCCACACAGGATCTCTGGAGCTCAGCCACAGTGACAATCAGGTTCTTGGTCACCTTTCTTACCAAGGCCCTTCTCCCCCGATTGCTCATTTTTATTGCACAGCCAGCTCTAGGTAGAGTCCTGCTTGTTCCAAACTTTCCCTTTGAAAAATGACGAAGGCCACTGTGCTCTTGGAAACCTTCAATGCAGCAGAATTTTCTATATCCTTCCACAGACAGAAAATTCTCTTTTTGCTTTTTGCAAAGACTGCAACATTACAAAATTAGCAAAAATTGAAGGGGTCTGAATACTTTCTGAATGCACTGTACTACAGGACATGCTCTACTTCTTCAAGCTATAACAAAAAAAAAAGACATTGGTGCGGGACAACTTCAGATCTCAAAGTGTATCCTGTGTGGTCAGCCCCTAATGGTTTCTCAGCTTTGTCTCCTTGGACCTGCAAAAAGTCAGCGTTCCACAAAGAATGTTGTGCAAATTTAACAAGGAAATAAAAATAAATAATAATAAAAAAAAAATAAAGAAAATGTTTTATCAGTAAGTGCTGATATTATCTGCAGGGGAAAACACTTAAGGTAGCCTCAGTGGCGACTTATCTCGACTAATAGTATGAAAATGTGCAGAGGAGAGGTGTTTTGAGAAAGGGAGGCCTGATGGATACTTTTTGATCATATCTACTTTGCAAATTTTCCTCTGCCGCAGTCATTTAACAACACACATGTCTCCTCCTGAATTCTGCTCGGCTTCCTTTTTCTTTTCCAAACATTTCAACCACATTGAAATCGCCAGCGACAGTTACTGTTTGGATTGAGAGCAGAATTTTATTGACCCGAGTAGATGCAGCGTAAGCATGGCAACGTCTGAGCTGTGAACAGTGTCTATAGCATGACAGTATAGTGATATGGTTCTCCTCTATCTAGATCAGCCATTTTTTGCCATTGGTTGCTTGCACCTGTGATGAGATAGGACTCGATGTCTTTTCTGCGATTGACCCCGTTTGGTTTCTCTAAATATAAGTCAAATAAATGGTTAAAAAATATGTTGCACATTGGTTAATGTAATGTCTACAGTTGTGTGAACTGATTCACATTAGCCAACAACCTCAACCACCCACTGACTCATCAGAGGGCTTTACACCTGTTCTCTTTGCCTTTTCTGTGTGTGTGTGTGTGTGTGTGTGTGTGTGTGTGTGTGTGTGTGTGTGTGTGTGTGTGGGTGTGTGCGCGTGCATGTGTGCCTGTGTGTGTTGGTCTGTTTGAAAGAGAGGGAGAGAGACAGCTGTCAAAGCTCACAGTCCCCTGCTAGTTTTGGTGGACAGGTGTGAGGGGGTGGAGTCCGAGAACAAACTCCCATCATCCACTCTGGTCACCACTACTTTTCACCTCTCCCCAAACACACATACACACACACACACACACACACACACACACACACACCCACAGGCACGTGTCAGCTTTATATTTTGGACATTCCACAGAGGAACGGAGAACAAATGAAGAACAAAGGGTGAGATGTTTTTGCATGAACTTCCACAACCTCTTTGGTGAAGGTTAAGCTCCGCTGCAGCACCTTAGTCAAAGATCATTGTAGTTTTCATGTTTGGCCTGTGATCTTATCCACTACACTGTCAAAGCAACCTGCTTCTAATGAATTTGTCAGGTGACACTCTGTATAATACATACAGCCCTGTTTGTGCAGTGTTCAGTGATCATTTGACACAATTAAATTTGTGACCTTAGTGCTGCATAAAATTTTATACACTTTTCCTAAGAGAGGAAAACCTTAATAATCCTCTGCCTGTCATATTGTGGCCAATAGAGTCATAGAGCTTAACATTAATACTAATTTCCTGAATAAGATTTAAACCACTGACACCTCTGAAAATTGAGATACAGAATTGAATATTATGTCATTTCTTAGCACTTTTGAGCTCTGTAATTGCAAATGATGGATATTGTATAGCATCACTTCTCAAATCTGTGTACCACTGCGCAATTGAGATACAAAATTTAATTCCAGTCAGATATTAAAACAGTTGATTAGTTTGCCCTCTCAGGTTAAGAATGTGTTAATTAGTGAAATCAATCTGGGAATATAATATATGGAAATCTACAGTTAGTTTGATGCAGGAAGTCTCTTGATCGTGCCGCGTGATTTAGTTGCTTATTCATGCAGTGTAACAGCTTACTGTAATGTCTGGCCGAGTGACGGACCACTCCCACTGCAAGGCCCCCTTCCCACCTCCCGACCCCCTGATGGCCCCCTCCTCAGAACAGCTGACTTGAGCTGAATTCTGTAGCCTCATGTTCCTACCAGCCTCAGGATTCCCTGAGCAGCTCTTTGCTGGATATTGAGCTCATTCAGTTCACCTACTGTAGGACCCATTCTGCTTCTTCAGGCTTCAACAAAGGCACAGCCCTTGAAGTGTATCCCGTGTGGTCAGCCCCTAGTGGTTTCTCAGCTCTGTAGAACGACAAACTGGCTGCTGTCAAACACACACACACGCAAAAAAAAAAAAAATCTCCTGTCTGCAAAAAGTCAGCCCAGTTGCAGAAAGAATTTTGTACAAATTTAACACACAATGTTCTCAAAAATAAAAGGGTAAAAGGAAAAAATAAAAAATGTTTTATCAGTAAGTGCTGATATTATCTGCAGGGGAAAACACTTAAGGTAGCCTCAGTGGCGACTTATCTCGACTAACAGTATGAAAATGTGCAGAGGAGAGGTGTTTTGAGACAGGGAGGCCTGATGGATACTTTATCTTGTCTGTTATTTTTTTTTATCATATTCATTGCTACAGACTGGATGATTTTTTTTTTTTTTGATCATATCTATTTTGCAATTTTTCCTCTTCGGCAGTCATCTAACAACACACACCTCTCCTCCTGAATTCTGCTCGGCTTCCTTTTTCTTTTCCAAACATTTCAACCACATTGAAAACACCAGCTACAGTTACTGTTTGGATTGAGAGCAACATTTGATCGACCTGAGTAGATGCAGCGTAAGCCCCTGCTGCAACACCTAACAATGGAAGCTTTAATGCCTCATTCTACCTAATTAGCCACACAGAATTCAGGTTATTGAGTGATGAGCATTCAGCCTGGATGCTCGCACACACACACACACGCACACGCACACACAAGTGGAACTTCCTCTTGCTCACATGAGTGCAGGGAATGTAAAATGTTCCTGAGGGATAAAGAACAACTTCCGCTTTTCAGGCAGAAATAGACATGAGAAATGATGCAAAATAACAAACTGGGTGAATGATCTCACCCAGTTGTTCTTGGCAGCTGGCTAAAGTAAGCCGACTGGTATACGTTTATGGCTGGGTACAATCTTCCTCTTTTAGTTTGCTCGGGGATATTATCTGTACATGTCCTTACATGTACAAAAAATTACAGCTGCGAGACTTTGTTACATAAGAAATGTTACACTGTGTTCAGACATCAGGGTGGATTGCTTGTTATTCAGTGAAAGGGGGCCTGAAAAAGCATCTGAAATAGTGTGTGCAAACTCAAAAACAGCTCATGGTGGGCTGCTGTTGTTCAGTGGATAAGACGCACTGGGGCTTGATGAGAAGCACTGACCTGGGATTTCAGGCCGAGGGTTTAACAGCGAGAGCAGCTTCTTGAGTGTATTAAATGTGATACATCGCCGGCTTTGATTCACTTAGGAAAGTGACTTACTGAAGTGCACATCACTGCGGCTGATGTTTGCTTGAAACTGTCTGCATGATATCTCTAATTGCCGCTCACCGAAGAACTGTTAACTGGAGTGAAAATGACTTGTAACTTTAAAGCTGATACAAAACACACTGCAGAAGGTCCTTTTTAAACACCAGCGTACTCTTGGCCCCACGGTCACTAATGGTATATGTGATGCTCCTCCGTCACTCTGCACTCACCGCAGCGCTGATAGCGTTTTCAGTTGTCATTGTCTATAAGTGAGATCTTCATTTCAGTTATGCCCTCCGACCCTTTTTAAAAACACACAAACAGTAATTGTTTGCCTTTACAGTTCGGCACAGGACTGTCGGCCATTGATTTGCCAGGCTTTTCACACCTTCTCAGATTCCCAGGAGTCTTTTTACTGATGTCTAACAGACCTGCTTGTGTTTTAGAGCCGGGAACAAAAACATATTATTTTGGAAACATGGTGTTTTTTTTTGTTTAACAGCTGAGTACTCTCAATTAAAGAAGTGAATGTGACGTTAATCACACAAACAGAAACGTCAACAATTCTTGTGTTATCTTTATATATTATTTTCAGATAGTTCAAGTGAAACAGTTTTCCACTTGATATTGCTCTTCCTCTCTATGTTTAATTGTTAACAAACTATTGTTGTGTCTTTCAGGATCCTCACAGTCCTCAGCGTTTCCCAGTTTGCCCAGTCGGACCAGCAGTACGACCAGTTGTCCCTCCGCAGCTCACAGAGATTCTGGCAGCGACATAGAAAGCTTCCTGAACGCCGAGCCGGGATATGACAGCATCTTCAGAAAGGTCTGACCCACTGCTGGTGGATTTTCTCTTTGTAGCTGGGGTTGCGTGGGAAAGCGTCTCCTCCAGGACACGCAAACTGCACTGGTTTGCCAATTAGACCGTCCTTACCACACAATCCACTCCCTGAAAGTCAGTGTTCAGGTGTCCTTGAAGAATTACCTTAAATTATAAGTGTCTTCATGTGAGGTGAGCAGATTGGTGGTTCAAAAAAACAAGAAAACATAGTCCCTTTATGTGAGTACATGCAGTTCCGTTTGAAGCAGCTTGCTACAGAACTCAATGAATAAATGTAAAAAAAATAAGAGAAAGTATATTAACTTTGATTCAGCTCTCCTGGCTGCAGTCCAAAATTGCAGCACACTCATGTTTAACAGCAAGAAAATATTTTGTGTTTGCCCCTGCAACTAGTCCTGTAGGGATTATATACTATAAATGAAGTAGCTGTTTTGTCAGTCTGTGCTTGGCTTTTTTATTTATCAGCACCCAAGGCTGAGATGCCAAACATCTACTAAGCATCTTTTTAAGCCAGTAGCTCTGCACTGCTGCTGGGGAAGTGCGAGCCGTGGTCCCTGCTGTCACTCTGCCTCTGTTGAAAGTCTGTTTGAAGCCAGGCGCCCTTTGGTTAAAGTTGAAATACTTGTATTTCTCACTTTTTGCTGTGTTGAGCACTTGAAACATGCTCATGGTAATGTGAACTGTATGTCCTTTTTTGTTGTAAAGAACAATGGAAGAAGTAGGTGCAGAGAATATCGGCTGCCTGGGAGTTAACAGTATGATGCTGAGGGTTAGGACGCTGTAGATAGAACAGTGATGGGCAAAATGTGCCATGAAGTCCATAAGCTTTGATTCCAAATAAAGACCACAGCAGCCGATGCAGTTTTTAGTTAGAGAGGATTAATGTCTTCACTGCTCTCTGTGGGGAAAATGCACGATGCAGTACTGTACATTTTTATATAACCCTAAGGAAGGTCATAGCATTGATAACATGTCAGTTGAGTGTGCCCTTGAGAGGACATTACAAATTTAAATGCTCACTAATTATACTGCGCTGGGACGGGAGCATCATCTAAAATATAAAAACAAGTTTAAAACCCAGCTGAATCCTCCTCCTAGCTCTAAAGCTAAAGTCACATGACTCACAAGCGTACACTGCAGTCACATGCACTCTGAATGCACTCACACACACACACACACACACACACACACACACACACACACACACACACACACACACACACACAAACTCATGCATTCTCTCACTCCCAGAGGAAGTTGTGTGCGCAGCATAAAGCAGATCTTTCATTCCCAGCTCTTTCAACAGAGGCAGCTCTATGCCCGACTCTCACGCCGCAGCTGGCTGCACAATAGGCCCAGTTAAAGCTCACACCTACAAATTAGCTCTAAATGGACTATCCCAAACCTGTGTGTGTGTGTGTGTGTGTGTGTGTGTGTGTGTGTGTGTGTGTGTGTGTTGTGTGTGTGTGTGTGTGTGTGTGTGTGTGTGTGTGTGTGTGTGTGTGCAGGAGCTCTTTCCCACCAGACCCAGGCCATAACACATTTACCAGTACTATTTGTTTTCAGAGTTTTTATTCATTGCTTATATTACAGAGCTGTCAGACCAGTCAAGGACAATGAAAGCAGTCCTAGCAAATTTGGCCTTCACCATCATAAATTAAGCATTTTCTCATTTGCAAAGATCTTTATTATCTGACAAATATATCAGCTAAGTTATGCAGCAGTGATGTATAAACCTTGACTAGACTATATATACATTAACTTAAAAACATTTTCCTGGGAAAGGTTTGTTTTCACAAGGTAGCCATCATTTAATGGAGCTTGTTTTAATGTCAGTGTTGCTATAAAGTGGCTCTGGCTCATTATCCCTAAGCTTTGCCATTTGGTCCTCATTATATCCCATTCCTGTGGGTTAAATAGCTCCTCCAGCATTCTTTAAATTCATCTCCTGCTCCAGTTAAGAAATGCTGATGGATATAGTATATAACACGATACGCTTGGTAATTAACAGGAATTTTAAGGACATATGTTCTGTTCTGTTCTGTTCTATGCATCTGATATAATAGTGAAACTAGCTTTATGGAGGAACATAGCTGTTTTCCTGTCCAGGGTTAAAGGTGCCACTTCTCTAACACTGCCTGTTATAGTTCACTATGGTTATAGTTCACTCTCCACAAGAGCACTCATTGATTAACTGTAGCATGGAAGTGAAGACTTAAAAAAAAAGACACATCTGGTCCCTGAAATAATAAATCAATCAGCATTCCATCAGAGTTTGGCACTGAGTTCAGTCATTTTTGAATTGATGAAGCTTGATGTTTTTGAGGCTCATGATAAACTATCACTTTGACAGTTCCCTGTAGGTACACGGTGCTGGGCAGTGTGTTTTTTTCTTAAATAATTATATAATATGTATTTTGTTTTTTTTTAATGTCTGCAGAACGATGAACCAGTAACAGGAGGAGACAGTACCAGCGAGGTCTCTGTCTCCTGCTCCTCTACAGACGACACCGCTAGCGTCGGCCCGTCCAGCTCCAGTCCCGAGGTTAGCCAGGGCCTGGGCTGCAGCTGGAGCCCAGAGGAGGGCGTCCAGACTGGGGCTGCCACCTCTGCAGGACTGGATGGTGGAGGAGGAGGAGGAGCAGCAGGAGACGCTGAAGAAGAGGCCAAAGACAGAGTGACTGAGGTGCCGCGACGCTCTTGTCTCCTCCGGAACAGCCTCCGCTCCCTGTCGCCTCTACGCCGCCACAGCTGGGGTCCTGGAAAGAACAACGGAGGAGACACAGAGATGAACCAGAGGAGGTGAGACTGCGAAGGCGTCTAGATTATTCCATTCTTTAAGCTGAAGAATTTCTAATTATAAAGTGGATGAAGTTGAATAGATTTTGAAAAAGCAATGTTACTGCTGCTGGTGTTAGTAAATGTCAGTAGACCTTATTTGTGCAGATGTCAGGATTATAAGAGCTTGTTGATGTCGCTCCCTCTGTGCCATGTTGAGTTTTTCCTCTTCCTGCTGTGACCAGCTGTGCTGCCATTTGTCTGCTGTTGGTAGGGAGCTACCAAAACTGTACACACACAGATGCATACACACAAAGACACGGAGATACATACCTCGACTTAAACACATGCACACACAATCTTGAAACCACACACTCACAGCATCATGTGCAGTAGTCATCAGTTAACACGTACTACTTCACACCTGTGCTGACACACCAACAATGCTAATAGAGACAAGACAATGCACACAGACACTGTAACACCTTGACATCCATTTCGTGTTCTGTGCTTGAACAGCAGCCTGTCACAGAATGTCTGCAGTGTAGCTGCCTGTGCCACGATGTTGGAGAAACAACAGATAAACAACAGCTCTAGGCTCTTAGTGTTATGACATTCAGGTTTGGGAGAAACAGCCATAACCACAGAGCTTCCTTATGTACAGTAGTATCTCTTTAGTATTAGTATTTCTGCTCTAAAAGTAAGGAAACACTCAGACAGTCAGAATCACCGCGAGCTGAGTAACCTTTACTGACCGAGCAAGATTACAGCGTCTGTGGGTAAACAATGTCATATTGGTTTGCAGAGTGTGGCTATCGTTAGCAGTGGTAGCACCAACGGCCTTCTTCCTGTCCAGTGGTTATATGCCAGTTTACTCTGACACAGCCCACATACAACCCTTTTTTCAGTTTGTAGATCAAAATTCTGCCAAATGGCGCTGCTTTAATGAGAAGTTATCCGTCCCACTTTCCAGCTTGGTTGTTTACAACATCCGGGCATTAGCACAGGGAGATGTCTCATCTTAGACGCAGCAGTTACCTGGCGTTTTATTTAATAAAATAATGATAATTAGTTCAACCAACTAATATGTCTGACTAGTGGCACTATCGTTTAGTCGAATAATGTAGCACATCCCTAACAGACAGATTACAGACTACAGAACATGAGATGACCTTTATAGATAAACATGATCTGAAGATGAGAAGCTTGCCAAGTGGTGGAAGACAAAACATTTGGGAAAAAGTTCCTCCTGCTGCTGAATGTGCATGCTGTGTAAAGTATAAGAGCATTAGTTTCTGTGACATAGAGCTATAACGCACATACAAGAGTTAATCAGTGAGACAAACACATGGCATCACCACTACCTGCTTGATTTGTCCCCTTTTACTGTTCAGTATCATTTTAAAGGAATAATATAACATTTTGGGAAATATGCTTTTTTGCTTTCTTGCCAAGATTGAGATGAGAAGGTCATGTCTGTACAATAAATCTGAAGCTGCAGCCAGCAGACAATTACCTTAGCTTAGCATTAAGAGTGTAAACAGAGGGAGACAGCCAGCCCGGCTCTGTTCAAGGACAGCAAAGTCCATCTATTAGCACCACTAAAGCTCACTAACATTTTGTCTTGTTTCTTAAATCCATACAAAAATGACAATTCGTGGTTTTATGGAGGGTTATGCACGGGACGTTTTTCTTCACTGCTCCCGGCACATAATCCCCCTGTAAAATAGCTACATGTCATTTTTATGCTTTTTTGCTTTTCTTTTAACGGGTGCTGGTAGGTGGATTTTGTTGCCCACAAACGAGCGGTTTCCAGATGTTTCGGTGTTTATGCTAGACTAAGCTAACTGTTTCCTGGCTCAGCTTGATATTTAATGGACAGACATGAGAGTTATATCAGTTTTCTCATCTAACTCTTGATAAGGAAGCAAACAAGTGTGTTTCCCAAAATGTCTTTTCCTTTAACATCACTACTCTGAACAAATGTCATTGTTATCACTCCAACATGGTGGCGTGTGCTATAGAGCTTTATTCACAGACTATAGTGCTATGGATATCCAGCCCCCTAAAAAGATTATGGACCCCTCATAGTGTATTCATTCATTGATCATGCTCTTATTGACCTGCCATCTCCTCATATCCCAACTCATCTCACCCATCATATAACACTTCCTGTCTGTGTCTCATCCATCACCTCCAGTTCCATCCGTAGCCCTGGTGAGGGGAAGCCGACCTTTCACAGGAGAAGGTACTAATAAATCACATTCATCAGTTCATGTATTGTAAAGACTGACCTGTTGCTAGGTGATGTGCAATGAGAAGTCATTAATGTAAGTGTAGCCTTTGTGGTTTCCCCCCTATCTTTAATGTATGCTTGCTGAACTGCTGCTGCATTGTGCTCCATCCCCGCAGGCTACTGCACTGAAAAATGTCGCTCTCGTTTCACCCCTTGGAATGTGCAAGAAATACTGTGGCAAATAGATGGTTGAGACACACTGGTGTTTTGTATTGCAGTGGTAATAACAAGCAGCCACACAGAAAGAGGGAAGAGGGGAGTTTAGCTCTGCAGGCTCAGAGGACTGTGTTGGCCAGAGATTTGGAACAGGGTTTTGTTGTTTTGTTTTTTTATTATTTTTTTTTTTTTTGGTGTAATAAGTTCCTGTTGGGAGAGAATTTTTAAAGACAGTAAAGACATCAGAGGATTTTTGAATTCAGTCCTGGAGGAGATGGTGTGCCACAGCAGTGAAAACAGGATGGAAGTTGCAAGAATGGCTATTGACTGTACGAAAAACTGCACTGGCAGCAATGAAGAAAGTGTCAGTGTCATCCACCATCAAGTGATCTTGATGCTATGACCCAGAGTGAGGTTGTTTAGGATGAGCCAAACCCTGTGAGGATGATCTTGCAGCTGTAATTGGCCAAAGCCTCTGTAGAGCGAGCTGATGATAGCGGTCATAAGTGTATTAATCTGTCACTTCCACTCTATATGAGTGGATTCCATTGGTACTTGAATGAGCCAATGAGAGACAGCGTCGGTCAGTTTTTTTAGGTCAGACATGCCAGTCAGCGATTTCTCAAATTTAATTTAATCTTGTTCTTCTGTAATATTTCGATGTCAGTCTGATTCCTATTCAGAGATTCTTGGTACTGGTTATTCTCTACAGTTAGCTATATTAGCATCACAGCTAAAACCAGACCAATACTGGAATAATGCCGATAGATTGTTGATATTTGAGCTGTGAAAGACATTTATTGGCCAGTTTCTTCCTTATTTGAGATTATTACTCCTTTAGTTTTCACTTATAAAAAATTTGGTTTTTAAAAAATTTAGATCAAGACCCTGCGGTGGGCAACAACCTAAAAACATATTGTATCCTAAACATATGTGTAGTGATACAGATATAACTGTGAAGAGCTTATAATGAGCACTAATATCAGCTGCCTCTCTATCTGTCAGATTATAACTAAGACATGGCTCTTATGGTTAGAGGCGGCTGCTCTAACTGGGCCACATCAGTTACCACAGTGCAGTGTTACAGTACCTATGCTATTTTAACAGTTCTGCATTTCTGGGAAACAACTTGAGTTCAAGTTAATTTCCTGTCTGCTATTGATGTTATGATAACACTGCAGCAGGAAATAAACTAGAACACAATTACATTATTTATGTTTGACTGTGTGAAATAATCAGCTGTAGATAGTAGACTGTACTATATACAGCAGTAGTTCTGTTGTGCCAGAACATTGTCACTCTTCTCAGGCATCCCTGTAACCCCTGTCCTTCTCAGATCCTCCTGTCTACATCATTATTCCTCTGCCATATGTGCTTGTCCATCTTCCCATCACTCCTCTTTATCTCCACCTCCATTCTTCTCCTGACTAACCCCTCCACCTCAAACTCTGTTAGCATCAGCTGGTGCCCTCCCGATGCTCCCCACAGCCATGGTGTGGAAGTAGTTAGTTCCTTCAGGTACTGTGTGTGTGTGTGTGTGTGTGTGTGTGTGTGTGTGTGTGCGCGCGTGCGCGTGCGCACGTGCCCGTATGTGCGTACGTGCATACGTGCATGCGTGTGTGTGTGTGTGTGTGTGTGCGCGCGCGCGTGCGCACGTGCCTGTATGTGCGTACGTGCATACGTGCATGCGTGTGTGTGTGTGTGTGCTGTTTCATTTTCTTTGTCTTGCAAAGAGCACATGACGTACTTTGAATTGGGTGTATTTAAATGCTGCTTGATTTGCATTTGCCGTTGTTGTGGGCGTACATACCTGTGTGCATGCATGGATGTCCTGCCCAGTCAGTGAGTCAGTAACTTCCTGCAGCGGAGAGCTGCTGGTGTTATTCATGTTTCAGTGATGAGGACCTTCTGCTCTATAGGAAAGTATGTAATAATACTGGCAGGAAGGCGGCTTTAATATGACAAATATAGTCATCTACATTCACAGCCCTGAGGATAGGTGAGTGCTGCTCCATCACTGGTCACTGATAATTACCGAGTCATGGTTCTTTTGGTCCAGTTTAGGTTAGTGATGTTTGAATGTGTTGGACTGATGATTTACTGGATAATGGAGTGCCATATAGACCCAAGGGCTGGAGATAAGAGAGATTTACTGCTGGAGCTTTAACTATCACAGAGTCTGTCCTGAAGCGAATAGAGCTGCAGCCGCGCAGCATAGCTCATCCTGAAATGTAGCTGTAGTTTTCTTCTCCATAATCATTGTATTGGATTTTTCAAGGCCTCTTATTTCCAGTCATAGATCGATGTAATAGGGTTTGTAAATCACAGCTGCAGAGCTCTCTATGCTGATGCTGATGTTGAAAATCATTTGCTGCTGCTTCAGCTGTAAATCTGCTCCGAAGCCCAGTGATAACTCAGCTGGCTAAACACTGTGCAGGACCAGCTGTGTGGTGTGCATGTCTGTCAACAGGTGCATGTGTGCATGTCTCTGTGTTTGTTTGATGCAACACTAGTTGTGTGTAACAAGAAAACTGTAACGAGTGGAGTGCACAGGGCAGTCGGTTCCTCCTTCACTGAGGTCACCTCTTGCTTTCTGTTTGCCCATACAGCTACAGCCTGGAGGGGCTCAGTGGGGGGCCAGAAGAGCTAAGGGGCCCCACCACCCAGGGGCCCCGAATCCTAGAGCCCTTAAGGATGCCCCGACAGGACAGCGATGACAGGGGCTCACTGGTTTCTCTGACAGAGGAGCAGGAGGAGCTGGGGGATCATGGCAGACTTCATGACCCGGTCAGCTGACACGCAAACACACACACACACACACAAACACACACGGTCTCATCAAGTTTGTCCTTTAGATGTCATATCTTCATACGGTCACACATTGGGCCCAGAGGGATCCTCATCCTCAGAAACATCCTCTGACTAATTCACACGAGAGGAGAGATGGATTTGAAAAGCTCGTACATAAACAACAGTCGGGGGAAATTTGAAACTTTCCAGTTTGGGGATTAGTAAGATTTAATAACATGACTTTCCTCAGGCGGCTTGACTCCACTCTCATTGAATTTAAAAACAAATTGCGAACACAACATCACAAATCATTTGTCTAGTTTCTCCTTTTAGGTTTTTGTTCCTGTTTCCATTTTTCCTTTTTAGTGACTGGTGATGTTTTGTTCCACGTTACATCTGCCTTCGTTACTGCCCCTTTTTTTTTTTTTTTTTTTTTTTTTTTTCACAATGACATTCAACCTCAGACTGAACCTTGCATCTCTTCCTGCAGAAATCGCGGAGGTATCGGCCTCTGCGAAACAGCTGTCCTCCCATGTCCCTGCCCCTCACCAAGTCTGTATCCATGCTCGCCATCAGCCAGAGAGACATCGATGGTGGGTGTCAAGCTGAGAAGCTGCTTTTCCTTCAGTGATTCACTATCCAGATCATGGCCAATACTTGTAACACTCAGCGTCTTTGATCTCTTCATCAATATATTCCTCTCTATTATCCTGCTTTGATGTGATAAGATGGTAAAAACTGCAAGTAGCACTCATTAAATGAGTCAATAAGTGGTAAATTTCTAACATGCAGGATTTCAAATTTGCTTCTAAGTGAACTTCACATGCTCATATAACTGTATTATTATCCAGTATGAGTCATTTTTGAAATGTAGAATTCATTATCTTGTCCCAGTATTAACCCCAACAACGATGGAGAAAGCTGGATGCGTAAATGGAAAGATATTGTGTTGGTAAAAAAACCCTTTTACAGAGTTGCTATTTGGGTATTACAGTTTCTCTTTATCTTGACATTTCTACCTCCCTTCCCCCGTCCTCACTACTTTTATGAAGTCACTTAAATGATCTGTTCTTGCTCTGGCTCTTTCCTCACTGCCGCCGCCCGCCCCCCCTCAGCAGTGGGTCGCCTGAGACGTAAGAGGCGAATCTCCTTCTCTTTCAACCTTTCCCCAATCCTCACCAAATCTAAGTCTCAGTTCGTTTACGGGGATTCTTCGTCTAGCGATGATGAGGATAACTTAAGTGAGTACTGTAAACGTAGCTGCAGTAGGAAATAACTGTGATGTCAGAACCCAAACACTACCTGCTCCTGTTAGAGGTGTCATTACTATTCACTGTGTGAATATGAAAGTAATGATGGCTTATGCTGCTGAAAAGGGTCCAAGGTTGTGTTTTGATCAAGGCACACAGTTACACACTTAAAACCTTCACACACAAGTAGTTAGCTGAGTGCCCAGATTTATGTCCTCACATATCCAGACATGACTGGAAGTAGTGTCTGTATGCACACCTCTCTGGAGTTGTCAAAAGGATTTCTAGAGCCACTCAGACAGACGAACACAAAGTTGGCTGAGGGAAAACTGGCTGCACTGAAAAAACAAATTATAATTTTCAATCGCAAAATACACATAACGGATTGTACTGAATATTATATGCAGCTTAAACTTTGGTACCACCTTTCAGTTTTTACAGTTTTGAGCTGGGTGAGGGCTCGCTGTAGGATTTATGCTGTTGCAGCTGAGCCTGAAGAAAACTAGATACTGAAGGCAGATGAAGCCCAAAAGTTCAGATGCAACAAACTTTTCATAAGGAAACCACTAATTACTGCTGATATTAAGCTGCTTGCAGTGTGGATGTGCAATTAGGCTCAGCTTGTAGCAGAATCACTGGTGTAGAAACCCACCTTTCACCTAGGCAGCAGACTTTGTGTTAATAATTCCAGCTGACAGCATTAAATAAGACCTTGGCTTCTCCCGTCCTCCACCCAGCCCAATATTTAGCTGACCTTTACTTAAATCAGACTTTGGTTTGTCTATTTGCAAAAAAACAAAACAAAAAAAAAAAAAGAAAAGAAAAGAAACACAATCAGTAGAGAAATAGGAAAAGAGTGATCATAAACAGTGCAGGTGAACTGAAGGAGCCCTTTCTTCCCTCCAGATAATGTGAGCCTGTCACCTTTAGTCAAAGACACTGAGCCATTCTCTCCCTTTTTTTTTTTTTTATCTGTGAGATATTTCCATTAGTGTTCTCTGTTTTCTCCACTGTGTTTCTGGCAACACAGGGAGGCCAAGACTTTGTCCTCATTATCCTGTTTTTGGGTTTTGACTTTCTGATGCAGAGCAGCCGAGTCAGGCTTTGCATATTTCTGTGTTTTGGTAGAAATGATTGTTTACATGGAGGCAGAGTAGTTCCTCAGCAAAGATGCATGCCTACGTTCAACTAATGCCAAATCAGTAGACCGTGATGATTTTTTTTTTTTTTTTTGGTAAATACTTAACTGCATGCATATGTGTAATCAGATTAAACTACAACTAGGTCAGAGATTTATTGAGTAATATCAACATTTTGACAGTTAACTGAGGCCAGGAAATCTGAATTAGCATAATAGGGAGTTTGGGTTGAAAAAGCTAGCAGCAACCATCATAGCTTTGTGTGATTGGCTGAATAGCCAAGACACAGAAGAAATTAAATGTACTTATGTATTGAGATCATCATTTTTTGCGTGGGGGGGAAAAAAACTGACTCTGTATTTGGAGAGTTCATGAGGTTGGGTGTCTGTGCAGCCAGAGATATTTTGGCGCCAGTATCCAGCAGCCATTAATGGCACTGGATCTAAAGGCAGAGCTGGCGTCAGCTTTTGGCCTTTTTTGCCCGCCGCCCTCATCGGTGCCAGAGTCATTTTGTTGTCAGCCTGCACACACCTCTACCAGGGTAACTAGAGGTTAAGTACTTTGCTTAAGGGCATTATTCTGTTCTCTGTCCGGTCCCTGTAGCCAGGACATGAACTGACAGCCTTCTGGTCTAAAAAAAAAAAAAGTCTTTATTAACCATCAGGTCAGTAGGGTCACTCAGTTACTTCAGGGAAACCAGGACGACACAGTGGCGAGTTTTCTTTACCTTAAATAGAGGCAGGAAGGACAATTTCCACCTTGGACAACAAAAATAGCGAAGAAAAAATACCCTTGTCCTTTTTATACCACCGTCCCACTGCTCACATCCTCTCTCATTTCTTTCCAGGTATGAGGTCGTTTTCCAGCACCTCTGGGTCACTAGCATACAGGTCAGTCCAGCTCTGTACCTACACATTACCAGAAAACACAGCTTTAGGTTTCAGACCTTTATGGTCCTATAAAGAAACTGTGTAGAGAGAGTCTTGAAGCAGAGCCATTCTCAGAATGTGTGAACAGGTAAGTACCTTGTGAATGCAGCTGTTTATGGATAAAATTATACACGTGTGTGTGCGTGTGTGTTCCAGTATATCAGAGGAGGAGCCTGGGCCTCTGCGGAGCGACACTGAGGGAAAGGGTGCGACGAAAGTCAGCCGGACCTTCAGCTACCTCAAAAACAAGATGTACAAAAAGACCAGGGTGAGCGAACATGACGTTTTTTATTTTTCTTTGATAAAACTGTGTTTTACTCTGTTTACTACACTTCACTATATACTATTTACTGCACTGTTTCTCATAGCAGTGCCTTCATGTGTGCAGTGTGCTTTGGCAAAATTCTGTCTTTTTTCATAACCCTCTCCTCCTTAAACATTTATTCCTTCAAGCAAGGATGACTGAACAGCAGGCTGCTTTTCAGCCTCACACTGCTCCGCATTCACATGTCTGCACACATCCACACTGGAAGCTGCCCTGTGCATCTTCTCCTATCGGTCTCTGTGCAGCTCCAGTCAGACAGCTGGAGGGTTATGTATCTTGCTTTAGGGCTAGTCAGTGTTTCCTGTAACTTCCCCCATTTCCCCAGTAGGTTTGGTTTTGAGCCCACAACATTTTCTGGTCACAGACCTGAATCTCGGGTGTGTGATGTGGTCAAAGTCATCTTTATTTTACATCCAGTACAAAGCCATGTGAGGTGATTGGCCTAAAATGTCATTTTCTATGAGAATATACTAGTTATTTCTAACCGCATTGTGAGCAATGATAATCCTGAATCCCTCACACTGATAACAGGGTGTCTGCAGGTCTTTAAAACCCTTAAAAATAATTGAATACAGTTTCCTCAGAAGGCCCTAGAAGGTATCAAAAAGTCTTAAATTTAATTTACAAAGGTCTTAAATACTTCCCCTTGCCTGCCATAGGCTGTAATGTTAGTTATAAAATGTTTTTGTATCCAGCTGCAGGCTGTCAGCAGACATACAGCTATAAAGTAAAAGTGGGGTTGTTGCAACAGTAGACTGTGCACAGTGAAGGCAGCACCATCAGATCTATAGCAAGTACTGTCACCCAACACACAAATGTAATATATGTACGTAGATTGAATTTCCATGTATGAAATACATATACAAAAATAAAAACATATATGTAAAAATTATATATAAAACCTATAAGGAATTGGAACATTTTCATATATTGACATATATGTCCAGCCCATACAAATATGTATTTTTATGTATGTATGCTTATATTGCAGACATATGTAAAATACATAAATATCTATCCCAAAGCCTGTCAATATATGTTAATATTATATACACAGGGTAAGAAAAGTCTGAGACCACCTTCTTAGAATGGGAAGATAGACATATTTAAAATGAATGAGAGATTAATAAGAAAAATGTATATGAGCATATAGAATTTTTATATGTATGATGTTTTAATACATTTGCACATATTAATTAAATGTGCAAAGAAATTTTACTATGGCTATTTCATATACGACTGAATGAATTTGTAATTTTTAAATTTTTAATCCATCTGTCTATGTTATGTTGCTAACAAATAAATAATTCAAGGCGATTATGTTAATTATCTTTGTCTATTATTAAAAAAATGTCTTAATGTGGTGAACCCGGTAAGTGGGTGTACACAGCTTTCTGTAAATGCGCCGCCCTTGAAAACAGACACTGAGGGGTGAACAGGAAGTAAAACAGGAAGGCGGAGTGAGTTTTGCTTCTATAATCTCTTCTCTAATTTCAGTCGTTACTTCGCTTTTAAAGTGACAGAGCTCTGTCTGTCAAAGGTCAAAATTATTGATCAGCGTGTTATAGAATCCAAAACAATTAGCAAAGCTTTGATGTTCAGATTGGACTCATTTTGGCTGTGACAGTCCTCGTCAGACTTGTTGGATTGCCTCAATAACAGACAAAATGTATTCAGTGACAATTAAAGCAGTCACTAACCAAATTAAAACATTTCTTTATTGAATTAATGTGAACAAGAAATAAAGAATGAAAAGCATCCAAATGTCTAAATCATTTCTCACCGCTGATCTGGTTTTGGATGTACTGTAGAGATCCAGGTTTGGCACAGTATCAGAAGTCTGAGACATACTGTAGTTTGTGAGGTGTTGTCATAGTGTCTGCACCAGATTGAAGGATTGTTGCAGAAATAGCACGTCCTGTAGCGATCCAGTCACTTCCTCATTGCAGCTTTTCTGGTGCAGCCTCATTGCTGGTAGCAGATTCAGCCACTCAGCCACAGTCAGGGATGTTATACAGGAGATTCACAGGGAGCCATGGATTCTCACTGAGATGGAAGGGCTGGCTGGAGGTAGGCTAACAGAGAGCTCTGCTTTCCCAGTCAAATTGTAGAGAAAGAGACTGTCACAATATCATGTTAGAAGTGACTGGTGCTCCCTTCTGGGTTGATGTCTTTTTCAAGTGAAGTCATTGCCTGTTATGTTATTTTTCACTCGAATGTCTTCTTGTTTAAATCTCTGGTTTAGATGTCACAAGTGATTACTTCCTCTGTTGTGTTTGCTTGTAGCCAAAAGAAATGTGCTGAGAATCTTTGCTCTTCGTGTTCTTCCAATAAGTTGAACTGTTTTTGAACTTTTTTAGATATGAAAAGGCCTAATATCTTACTGCAGAGAAGAATACCTTTATGGGGCTTCTAGTTCATAGAGGCTTTTCAGTGCGTTTCACCACTGGTGAGGCAGCTATTGTTGCAGGAAGTGAGAACGAATGCTGAGCGTTGGAATGGCTGTGAAACATGCAGACTCACTGTGGTCCAGTCAACCTTATGGTATCTTGAATTGTATGAACCGAATGAGCTCTTGTATGTCAGAGCTCTGTGGTCCCCTCAAACCAAGAGGCCCAGGGCTGCCCATTAAAACAAGCTGGAAACTCCATTTTCCCATTTCCTCTGGGTTTGGGTGGAGGCTCTGTGATGTAAATCCAAGAGAATAAGAGCTCTGTTCTTCTCTGCATCACTTTTATGGGATTGTGATTCAACGCAGCGTAAAGAGATGACCAACAGCTGAGGATGACCTCGTCCATTAATGCAGAGGCAGCAGAAAGACCGCCCTGTTATTGAAAGGTCAAAGATTTGATTCCCAGACAGTGTGTCTCCATCAGTAGTCACTCATCCTGCAGGAGCGTCTCCCCCTGCTCATTCATTACAAGATGGTATGAATAGAAGCTTTTGCACTAGCTGATAAAACAACATATCTAATATGAAGATTTGCTACTGTTTGTGCTGCTTTACCCTCATCTCTGAGATTATAGCAACATCTACAAGTGACATCTACCAACTGATCAAATTATCTTAGTCTTAGAAAGAAAAGATGCCTGAAACAAAAACGCACAACATTTAAAACAGCCCCTTAATGAGACACTTTGTTGTCAGCATAAATAATGCATCACTTAATATGCAAAGCCCCCTGCTGTGTACTACATCAGGATAATAATGTCGCTCTGTTGGATTCAGACTGGAATTTAACATAATCAGCCGGACAAATGCACAGATATTTTGTCGATGTCTGCTACATTAGTCCAAACTAAGCACAAGTCTAATTTCTTCCTAAACATCTAATTGGCTGAGATAATAGTTTAAGTAGTTGTTGAAGTAGTCGGTTTGTGTCCTTAACCACGATAACTCCATCTGTGCAGGAGAAGGAGCGAGACAAAAGGGAGAAAGACAAGGAGGGGAAGGAGAAGGACAAGAAGACTGTGAATGGTCACGTGTTCATGCCAGTCGGTTCGGCCCAGGCAGCCCAGTGTTCCCAGTGCAATAAGGCTTTCAACAGCAAAGAGGCTTTCCACTGCACACGTACGTATCTTTGTTCATGTCTTTTTCCTTCTTTCTTTTTTTTTTTTTTTTTTTTTTTTTTTTGCATTGTTCTTTCACCCCAGGTTTTGTTCTTTTCATTTGTGACTGATAAGTGCTCCTGTTGCTTTAAGTCTAATCAAAGCCCATTAAGTTCTGCGATCCTTTATTAAAACAATTAATTCATCATAAATTCATGTCTGTTACTGAAAATGAACTTAAGTTGCACTTACACCCTGCGCTGTCGGAATCATACAGTGAGTGAGTAGAAAAAAGAAACCACGGTGGAAAAAGAAAGGGTCCTCAGTGGACATACATCATCAGACATGAATCATGCTATTCAACTTCCTGCAAAGGCTTAGTCAGTACAATTAACACTTATATTAACATGTGTAATTAAAAAGTTAAGCCTCATTACTTTGTTTCGCCATTGATCATAATTGAAAAGGCCTGTTAATTCCTTAAAGCACTAATAACTTGCATGCATGTTGCACAGTTACCGGGTCAAACCTTGTATGCATCGTCTAGTGTACATGGGCAGTTAGCTGTAAGCGGCCCACACGCCTCATGATCTCTATATAAGTAGTGAAACTTCATAAAGAGGTACTTCTAATGTCTCAGTCAGACTTTCAGCACAGACAAACAAAACCGTTTTTTTTTTTTTTTTGCATTGCTTTCCACTGATGCAGCAGCAGTAGCTCTAAAGAGGATGTAGTTTATTGCACAAGCCTTTTGGCGTAACCCCAGGAAGAACCTAAAAAGGAGAAACCAGTTCTGCAAGAGATCACAGCAACACAGTGACCCTCTCAGTGGTCACAATCTGCCTCAGATACGTCAGACTGGCACACACAAAAAAAAAGAAAAACAGCTCTGGTTGTGTTCAGTCGTTCTGGTTGGGATTATTGGAGCCACAGACGGTTCTGAGGCTGTTTTTTGGAGGATTGTACTCGCAGATGTCTGGCTGGTGTCCATTCAGCAGACAAATAACAGTGATCCTTTGTCTCAGATTAGCTGGAATTAGTTGGACATCCACAAAACACAGCCAAATACCCAATAAGACCATTTAAGAGGAAAAAATCACTGCAAGAATTTAAGATGGTTTTACTGTGCTGGTTATAGTTTGATATATCACACAATAAACTTATTTTTTTTACTGTAGTACAAGCACATATTTTCAGGTTATAGGTGGAAATGAAAATGGAACTCTGTTACTGCCTTGTTATATTTGCTGGATGATTTTGTCACCCTGACTGTGACTGTAAATGTGTTGATGTAATCCCAGGAGCGGAAATGTCATGCGCCTTTTAGCATGGATGACTAGGTCAGATAGTGTTTGTGGATTTCACTTGTGCAACACGACAGTTTAAAGCTTTTCTTGTCTTTGGAAATTAGTGGAAACTCGGTGAAGATTGTTCCTCTTGCTGCCACTTCCTGGTCGAGACTTCAGTTTTTCACTTGTGTGACAGGTTTCTGCTCTTATAAAATGACCGAGGGTATAAAATGTAAACACTGTATGTTACTTTCTGAAGGAAAACAGAAGAAATGAGTCTTTGATAGACTGAACGGGATCAGATTACAGAGCAGATCTTATTTTAGCACCCTCACATGATGACCCTTGTTCCAAAATGGTGATTTGGGAATGTTTACATAAATGAAATTTTCCCATGTAATTCAGTTTTTATGCCTGTGTGTCATTCCTCCGCCTATCTCTTTTTTTTTTTTTTTCTTTCCCCTTCATCGTCTATGAGAAGAAGTATTACATCTCGATTGCATCACATGCTTTGCTCCAGTCTGGCTTTCATTAGTGGGCTGGTGGAGTTTCCTGGCCGGCTATGAAAACCAGTCAGAATTTCTAGCCCCCACCTTTCCTCCCCACCTCCATCACCAAGCTCATAGTATTCACTGAGTGTTCTGTTGCTTTTCTTTCCAGACTGTAATGCTTCCGTCCACAAGGGCTGCAGGGACAGCTTGCCTCTCTGTGCCAAGGTGAAGATGAAGGTAAAAGTTCCCTCACAGTTACTCCACCACTGATTCTGTAGTTTCCTGTTGTCTTGAAGCCAATATCGATTTGAGCTCGTCATTTATGCTCTGTTCCTCTGGATAGTTACCCAAGCAGCAGTTTGCAGTACCAGATTCAAGCCCTTTTCCTGGAGTCACCATGAGGAACAAATGTGAGTGTCAAGCCAAACTGGGATTCCTAACGTAATCATCACGGCCCGTGATCATTTGCAGATTCATTGTTGTAATTTTCTGAACAATTATTTGCACTACATGTAGCAAAACATAGAGTTTTTCTACCTACTGAAAACAAGTTGTTCCTTTTGGGATGGTTTTGTGATCCAGGGATTTGGTGCGTCTGTCTCTTGTGATAATAATTCAAAGTAAAAGAGAAAATATTTAAGTGCAGGATTTCCTACACCAGTATCTCCAATTTGAGCAATTTCCATGTTTTTAGATCAGTTAAAAGATTATAAGATCCTTCCTCACCTAGATTCATAAACCTTTTCAAAACCCATCGGATCATTTCAAAACTGTTTTGTCAAGAAGCTAAACAAAAGGTGTTGTTGTTTCTTTGTTGAAAAGTTTTTTTGTTGGGATTGAACTCTGTGATTAAAAGAAACTGTAGAAATAGAAAACAACTGAGGCAGATTGAAGAGGTTCCTCAAGTGACATTGCTGATTGGAGGGTTTAGAGGCTACTGCTAACTGCACTGCATGTGTGTCTCTGGTTCAGCTGGTGGGACGAGGGAACGCCCCTGGTCGGCCATCTTGTCCCCTGAAGACCATTCTTCTTTGATGATCCCATCGTCACGGAGACACACCAGCATCATGCCTTTCCATGGCAACAACCTGTCCAAGAGTCTGTCCATAAGCAACATCGCTGGGTGAGCGTGTGTGTGTGTGTGTGTGTGTGTGTGTGTGTGTGTGTGTGTGTGTGTGTGTGTGTGTGTGTGTGTGTGTGTGTGTGTGAGTGCATGTACTGTGTATTAAGTGGTATTTAGCCTCAGCTATTCATATTATTTAAGTGAAATTAAATGTTTATGTTGCTTTGTATTGAAATAATTCTTGATTATTTAGTTTTGTACGTTAGTTTGTATCTGTAGTTATGAAACAACATTGTTAATGTAACTTTTGTTGTTATTATTATTCCTCCATTCAGTCCGGTGTTTGATGACATTCCCATTAAAGGCCTGCGGTATCTCTCTCAGTCTACGGACTCCCTCAACAGAACAAACCAGGTCACAGAGTCCATGGAATCGCTCACTGATGAAGGTCATTACACACACACTCCTTCACCTTCATGCACCTTCATCCTCAGAGAGTGAACTTCTCTAGTTCTGTGTGAGAATAATGACTAAGTCTGTAATATAAAAAAATTATAGTAGAAATATAGAAAACAGCAAACTAAATATTTTATGCTTCAGACTGGGCTCTGGCATAACAATCCACTAGTATAAATGAAAGGTGATGTTATGAAAATCAATGTGTCAAGTGCAAGCTGTGTTATTACTTCAGGGACGGAGATGATGGACGGGCAGTTGATGGGGGAGTTTGAGGCAGAGGCCAAAGAGCTGGAAGCTGATTCGTGGAGTTTAGGTGTGGAGCAGCAATACCTGCAGCAGCTGGACAAAGAGCTGGTGAAGAGACAAGATGTCATCTACGGTACAGCTAATCACCACACACGATTGATTGAACAAAACCTGCTTTTAATTGAAAATTAAGAAAAATATATTAAGGTTATTAGGTAAAGCTGCCCAGTTGTTTTTTTTCCAAATTTTTGGGAAACTACAAAGAAAATAATTAAAATAATTTGTGATAACTTAAAGCAGAGAAATGGGTTAATGCCTTTTAGCTCAAGATCAGTAGTATAAAAAACACTGTTATTCTGTGACCTGTCATAGGATCTGAATTGTCCTCTCTCAGGTGACTGAAATATGTTGTGATTTGGGGCTTTGGTAGGCCCATGTTCCCTCATCAGACTATTGTGACTTTCGCTTCACTCTGTTTCAGTTGCATCTAAGTCTCAATGGTCTACTGAAGCTACAGATTCACCTCATTTAAATATACACTGACATACATCCTGTGTGCTTTGAAAGTCCCAGAGGTGTCTCTAGCTTTTGATTAGAATCTACTTGCAAATAAATTTAAATGAAATGATTCTGAAAGGCTCATTCATGTCTATATAAAATGTGCAGTCAGATGCAACATCATGTCATGAATTCAGTGAAAGGTTTTGTAGCCCTCTGAGACTGACTGAGCTATATAAAACTGCTGCTTATGTCATTCTGTGACTTGGTCTCACTTCCTGTCTTTCAGAGCTGATGCAGACGGAGATGCATCACATCCGGACATTGCGCATCATGTCAGAAGTGTACAGTAAAGGCCTGCAGAAGGAGGTGCAGCTTGAGCTCCAGACAGTGGAGAAGCTGTTCCCCGTCCTAGATGAGCTCTTGGATCTGCACACGCAGCACCTCCTGCGCCTCCTGGAGAGGAAGAGGGAGTGCCAGCTGGAGGGGGGATGCTTTGACGGAGGATTCATTATCAACAGGATAGGAGACATCCTGGTCAGCCAGGTTAGAGGAGGGATGAACGTGTGTGTTTGGGTGTAAGAAAACATGTCAGAACAGCTGTAAAAGATAGCAGTCCTTAGCTCTGGGGAAAATAACATCAACAAATGCTAATGTCTTAATGTGCTGCATACATGTACATGTTCTTTGAATTGAATACTGTTTTAGGACCTGATACCACCAAAAGACTCTTCACACACACAAACTAATCAACTGAGTTCAAATTAGAAAATAGAAATCTGAGCCCTGCTACATGCAGTGTTAGCCTTCTAGCTTCTGCACCTGTGTTTATTTTGTGTATTAACATCACTCAAACTCTTGCTCCAGTTCTCAGGATTCAACGGTGAAAGTATGAGGAGGATTTACGGAAGATTCTGCAGCCGCCACAATGAAGCCGTCAACTTCTACAAGGACCTGCTGACCAAAGACAAACGCTTTAAAGCCTTCATCAAAGTAAGGCCTTCATCTCAGCCTGTATCTATGTATCTGTCATACATCTACCCTACAGCAGTGTGGCTGTTTAAGGAAGTCTCTTCTCATGCTTGTTTGTTGTGTTGAACGTATATTTTTCTTGTTTTTGTTCTTTTTTTTTTCTGTTGTATAAAGTACTGACATTGTGTCAACCAGGAAGCTGGTTCTTGCTTTTTCTTGCTCTTGTTTTTATTTTTTTGCATGTACACTTCATCAGTGCATGTATTGGAAACATTTGTATAAAAGTCAAATTACCCTTCAACAGTATTTATTTTGATTATAGAGGCTTTAGGGCTTCTGAGCCTGTGCATGTGTCATATACATAATCACAGTAAACACCTTCTCATGTATTATTACAGCATAGTTCTACAACAAAGGAGTTCTATGGGTTCCTATTGGTTATGTGAAACCTTGTCTTGATTGCGCCACCTGTTGTATGGGCACGTTTTACTAAAGCGTCTCTTGATGACTCTTTCAGAAAAAGATGAGTAGCAGCATTGTGCGGAGGCTTGGCATCCCAGAATGCATCTTGCTGGTGACCCAGAGGATAACAAAGTACCCGGTGTTGATTCAGAGAATGCTACAACACACTAAAGGTTAGCTTCATCATCCATGCTTTTACTGTGTTTGGACATTGATTTGATTGGGGGAAACTAGGAGAAAGTTAGTTTTAATTGGAAAGGTCCTGGATAACCACAGATTATGACAGCAGGCTAACAAAGCAGCTAACTTTATTGATAGTTTTAGGTACAGTCAGTGCAGTAGTTGTTGGTGTTTAACCTGTAGTTTTATTACAAAACATCTTTAACCCAACTTACTGAGAAATAATTAAGCAGAAAAGTAGATGAGTAAAATGTTGCTGTATTACAATGTTTCTACCTGTCAATGAAGAGTAAAAGAGCAAATTTAAAGTCATAGATTTGAAGGCAGTAAAGAAAATTATCATATTCTGTCAAAAGTGTTTTTTTAAATTGAAACTCTCAGCTGGTGGGCTACATTAATTATACTCTCATCTAAAGGATTTTTGCATAAACAAGTGACAGACAACATGACAGAATAAGGCTAATCAGTGCATTCGGGTCTAGAGAATGTTGCTGGCTCATAGATCATTAGAGAAACAAGTTGATTTGCAGTTCATTTTCAGTTGTTATAGTGCGACGCACACCAAAGTGCTGTTTGTTTCAGGAAACCTTAATTCCCTTTCATATATTTTGAGAAAAATGAGACATATGTCACATGGGTGTTTTTAGGATAATGGAACAAGCGCACTTTGAGGAACTGAAATATTTCACACCATATTTATATCTGATTTAAAGCAGCTCTCGTCAGCTGGCCTCCCACTGTGTACATTCTCTCTAATCCTTCCCCAAAGCCTGTTTATAGTTCCATGTAGGATGGGGGAGCTCCGACTTAATCCCCAAGGTGCTATAAGAAGACTCTCCTGCCAACTCTGATATATACTGAGTGGAAATAACACAGTACACTACCAGTTAAAGATGGTATTTTGGTGCTTAGGAGCACCGGAGTACAACAGCCACATGGGGAAAATATTGCAGTTTTGGGGGAAATTATATGTTTTGGGTCTAAAACTCAGGTGCGCAATATACAGGAGAAAAGTGTGAGATGCACATTGACTCTGGAGCTGAGTCAAAAACTTTTACGTGTTGTTTGTCTTCAATGAGGCGCATGCTGTAGTTAACATGAGCAGCGATAGCCAAAGTTGCTCAACACGCTGAGAAAAGAGCACCTGCATGTACAAGACATAACAAAGGAATGGGTCCACATTTTGGAAAATACACTTGTTGGCTTTCTTGTAAAGACTTAGATATGACATAAAATGTTAGTGAGCTTCAGATAAAGCCAATAAAGGTATTTTCCAAAATGTGATTTATTTGTCTAAAGATCCTGGAATCCATTTTCTGTTCATCTACTCCAACAATGGAAAAAAATGCCAGAAGCTGCAGTTAGTAAAACAGGAAATAAGGTGCATTCTTAAGCACATTATACTCCTAAAATGTCATTAAGGTGTATTGAATGGGCCTTTTTAGGTTAAAGGGGAAGTCGCTTTTGAACAGTTGTGGAAAGAAGATGTATTCAGAATATCTATTGTAATTAACCTAAACAGCAGAAACTGTTGGGTCAGACAGTGCAGCCAGTGATGCATACAAATGACTTTGACTCACATGTTAGATAAATGAGCAGAAAAAGAGATACAATAATCTTTTCAAAGGAAACTGTCCGTTTCACATGAAGGAGGAATGTGTACATATATGCAAAATTTGGTGATTATAATGGTGGGAAAAACAAAATGAAAGAGGCAAATCTCAGCCAACATGAAAGTAGTTTAATTGACTTTATAGAGTTTTTGTTTGTGTGTCCAAGTCTACCAAGTAAAACCATAAACAGGCTTTCATTACAGTCTGCGAGCAAGTGGAGATGCAGCCACACTTAAATGCCAAAACGGGTACCAAAATTTCACGACACCTTCTGTGGTCCATAAAGTCCTCCTCAGCTGTACCACTCTTAACCATCTGGTTCTAGTGTGTTAGTGTGTTAGTCTGGAGCCAGTAAACTACCAAATGGACCAACATTAATGGCTTTTGCCTTCATTTCTACCTCTGCTGGTTTTGCACCTGCGTAAAGATAATCTTTACAATCTTAACTTTTCACATAAAACAAGTGAAGAACATCCATAGTCGGCTTTGGTTTCTACTCCTCTGATAATTAGGTCTGGGGTTAAATGTTTTACTGTCTGTTTACAATCTAACCTGAGACTGTGGTTACCGCCGGACTGCTCCACCGCTGCCTTTCTAACCTCTCGCTTCACATGTGGAACACAGAGAGCGAGGAAGACTATGATGACCTGACGGAGTCTGTCCGGCTGGTGAAGGAGGTGATCGCAGCAGTCGACAGCAAGGTGAACGAGCACGAGAAGAGACGCCGTCTGAAGGAATTCCACAGCCGCATGGACAGCAAGTCCATCATGATGATGAAGAGCGGCCAAATTTTCGCGAGGGAGGATCTGCTGAGGAGGAGGCTGATCCACGACGGAGCGCTGCAGCTGAAGAACAGCCAGGGAAGACTAAAGGGTTAGGATGCTAACTAATGTTTTTCCATGATTCTCTTCATAAGTATGTAAAATGTGGAAATATGTTTATATATTTTAACTTTCCTCTCATCCGACCACAACTACTTTTCTCCTGTTGACCCTCCAGACATCCACGCTCTGCTCCTGTCAGACGTCTTTGTCTTCCTCCAAGAGAAAGACCAGAGATATGTCTTCGCCATGCTGGTAGGATCCTGCTGTCATCTCTCTCTCTCTCTCTCTCTCTCTCTCTCTCTCTCTCTCTATCTATCTATCTCTCTATCTCTCTTTCCATCTCCTTATGTCTCTCTTCCCTCTCTCTCTCCTCCCTCCATCATTTCCCCTCATGTTCCCTCCCTCCCTCCGTCCCTTCAGTAATAAAGATCTTATGAGCGCTGCCAGAGATGTTGCTGTCATATTTTCCTATCCCACTGTTGTTGCTGTTAGCATTAGCTGCCCTGCTTAGCATTCCCATTGTGTAACACTGCCTGCCTCTGGCTAGCTCGCTAGCTGCACCTAATAAAGCTGATCTGGCCCTGGGCATCTAACCCAACTGTGATAAATCATATAGGTTTGAGTCATTTTTTCCATGTTTACAGGACTCACAGTTTGATAGCATGGCACACAAACTCTCTCTCACACACACACACACACACACACACACCCATCAGAGGGAATAAAAACAGAAGCAGGCCTGTGGCATCATAATCACATCCATCATTAAAATAAAGCTTGGCATTTTTGAGTTGAGGCTGTTTTGTAAAGAGGAATAACATGTGCTTCTAAATGGATGATAGCCATGTGACCCAGGCTGAGTTTTGGGGAGAGTCAGCTTCCAGTCTGAGGCTCATCAACAGTACAATGAGCCAGTAGCAACAAGGACAGAGAGGCCACAGCACCTGGACGGGAGATATACTAGGTTGCTGTGGCTAAGATGATGCGGAGTCTGAGTTAGTCAGATGAGATGAGCATCAGCCACAGTTATAGTCTTTTTTTAATACAGATTCCATCTTGTATCTTTGCTGACCTACAGTGGAAAGACAACAAAACAAAAAAGGGAATTCTGAAAGAAGAAATGCTCTTGATCTTTGAATTTAAGAATGCATCTGTGCACAGAATAAGGACTGTGGATTTTACTCCTGTTTTTTTCAGCACAGTCAAAGTAGGTAGGGGAGAGCCAGCTGGAGGGGGGAAGGAAAAATAAATAAAAACCTTTTCTTTCTTTCTTTAAACCTAAGACAAGAGATTGCATCAAAAAACTCTGGGATGTGGTTACATTGTGTGAGTGTTGCTGGACAGAGCAGAAATGAAACGGCGGTTTGCGGTGTTACCATACTAAAACGTGCTTCACTGTGTTTCCTGCTTTAAGGTTGTAAGTGCTGCTGATGCTCCACAAGTCAGCTGACACTAATGTGGATGATAACCAGAATCTCATTTTGTCTTTTTGTTCTTTCCCTCTTTGTTCCAAATCTTTTTCATTCTTCTATAATCATCCGTTTCTCTGACTGACCTTCCTTCTATCTGTCCCTTTGTCTTCGCTGCACTTGTTTCTGTCCTGCTTTCCTTTTCTCCTCCCATAATTATCCTTCTCTTCCTCTCCCCCCCCTTCTCTCTTGTGCTCCAACCCACCCTTCATCCTGCCTCTACCATCCTCTTCTCCCTTCTTCACCATTTTCTCCCCTCCTCCCCTTCTCTTCCCTCGACCCTCCCACTGTCATCTTCCTTTTTCTTTTCATTTTTTCCTCCCTCGCCGCCTCCATCAATCCCTCCGTTCCTTCCCCACCCTCCTCTCCTTGTAGGACCAGCGCTCCACGGTCATCTCCCTCCAGAAGTTGATCGTCAGGGAAGTCGCTAACGAAGAGCGCGGCCTCTTCCTCATCACGGCAGGCATCGAGAAGCCGGAGATGATGGAGGTCCTGGCCAGCTCAAAGGACGAACGCAACACCTGGATGCATCTGATCCAAGAAGCCATGCAGTCCATGTAAGTGGGGTTTCTTAATGTGTTTGTTGAGGTGTTTTTACTCAAAAACATTTAGGACTTAAATATGCAAATACTGAAATGCCTTAAGGCTTTTTGTTGCTAGAAAAATATTTTTTACTCAAAAGTTTTACTTGAGGATGAATATCCCACCTAACCAGACCCATTTCCTCTAAATCATAAACCTCAATTACAAAACAAACTCCACCTTCATAGTGCTTTACATTCAGTGCTGGCCTCTTAGAGTTCACCCACAGTTCGTTTGTGTTGTAACCCAGGAGTTAGACCTAGCCCAGGTCTCTGGAAAGTAATATACGGTAAGCTGCGACAGAGCACTGTGCTGTCAGGAGGATTAGCACTACTCTACCTGGGGATGGGATGTACTCAGGGACAGTCTAATGCTGGATTGGCTTCAAGGGCAGCTCACTATAAGCAGAGGATTATTCGACTACAGCCAGCGGGAAGGAGAGAGATTTAATACTCTGTTTCTCTCTCTCTCTCTGTCTGACTTCCATCAAAATACAAAACTGAGATCAAGCTATTGGCAGAAATGGAAGAGAATCAACAAAAAGTTTTCCACTGATGCTCTGATAGTCTTCTACCAAAACACTGTATATATATGTATATATATATATATATATATCACATTTTTTAAATTATAGTCCGGTGATATCAGTGTTGTATCCACCATTTGTTTGTAGATGAGGCTCAAGCTAATGATTATGTTCATCACTCCTGTTTTTAAAGAATTCTCCAGTCTGTTAAATGTAAATAGTGAATGGTGCATTTTTGCCTGACAAATAACTGAAATGGTTAAAAAAAAAAAATTGAATGATTGAATGATGAAATCCTGGGCAGTGAATGTTTTTGTTTGTAATTTTTAATATTGTAAATAAAACTGACTGTTTGATTTGAGCATTAGTTATTGATGTTGTCATAGACGTAGACATAAATATTGTGAACATTGCCGATTTTGTTCCAGTATCATTTAAGGCTCTAGATGTAATATATCATGTTTGCTTTTGTTCTCTTGGTCGGACAGGGAGAAGGATGAGGATGAAGGTATTCCCAGTGAGACCGAAGATGACAAGAGACAACTGGAGACTAAAGCCAAGGAGATGAGAGGTGAGAGACTGAAAACTGGGACAAATCTGCTCCTAGTATCACAAAATGTTTTCCTCACCGTCCTCATCTCTCTCTCCCTGTCTGCCTGTCCGTCTCTGCTGGTCAGATTTGTTGAGGCAGAAAGACACAGAGATCATGTCTCTGCTGGAGGAGAAGGTGCGGCTCTTCAGGGGGATGTGGGAGGGCCTGAATCCAGGCGAGGAGGCCTGCCAGCAGGTCGAACCCTTCTTCAGGTCAGCCTGCAGCTTGGAGCCACCCAGGGGGGCGTCCATCATGAAGGATGCCCTGCTGGAAGGTAAGACAGAGAAAGAGAGTATTTATAATATATGTCCTAGGGATGCATCGTTCATCGAGCATTCGCAGCAGTGAGGCAGAATGAAGTGAGCTGAACAGAGAGAAAGAGCAGCGGTGCCTTATCTCAGTTTCCATCCACATATTTTCTAGTGAATTATTAGAGCTGGTGGTCGTACGTCACATGAACACATGAGGTTTTCATCAACTATAACAAATACACGATGCTGTAAAAAAAACAAAAAAACACATGCGGTACCACCCATGTTCCGTATTAAGTGACACGTTGTTGGCACATGGGAGTATTACCTGATGTAATTTTGCTTTCATACCCACATGGAAGTGTGAAATCTACCAACAGAATGTTAACAGTAACAGTGTGTTAGACAACACTAAGGCTCGTTGCTTTCACTATTACCTACGACCAGGGGTTTGTAAATCAATACAAAGCACTATGGGCTGAGCTTCAGACACAATCGTCTCTCCCTCGCCACATGTTTTGAAAACCTTTGCCCTACACAAAAAGAATAACTTTTCCCCCTACTGCCTAACCTTATCTGCCATCACTTGGGTGGTGGTCCCTGAGAACAGAGCTTGAAGGGCTACAGGGGAGGTAACAGTAACTTTGCAGCAGACTTAAAACCAGTCTTGTTGCCACCGGTAGCATTTCTGTTAAGAGTGGGCATATCAGTTTTCATAACATGCTTGTCAAGGATCAGTTATATAACCCATCACGAGTGCACTAAAATAAAACAGCAGATTTAGCATTTCTTTTGCTTAATAGACCTTTTTCACATGAGACATTTTTGACTTGTCATGGTAGGAAACGCACTGACTTGTTACTAATAACATTAACAACGGCTCTGTTCCATATGAAGTGTCCCACTAAGCTAAGCCAGTGAGCCAATATGCACAAAAGCAAGACCCCATCATTGAAACAGCCATGCTGAACAGAGCTGTCAGTTATATTATTACTTTCATTTGTGTTTTCAATGTTATTACAAGTCAGATTGTCTGCTATGAAAATGTTTTATTTGTTACAGCTATCTCCAGCCACAGATCACAATGCAATTCAAATTTCTTCTACCGTTTGTTTTTGAGTCTGGATGTGGAAATTTGGACAGTTATCTAAAGGGCTAGATGGCTACTAGCTAAACTAGACCACTATGTTAAGAAAACCTGGATATTAACTATCAGAAAACATCTGATAATTCACCTTTTCTGACATACTTGGAAAGTAATTGGCTCAGTAGTTGGATCTCAACAGAGGTTGAGTTTTGGGAGGATTTAAAGAGAATGTATAGAAAACATTAAAGGAGTCAAAGTGTTTTTTTGGGTTTTTTTTTTTTCCTCCAGCTCTGTTTGGCACTCTGGCAGCCCTGTTTGTCAAATGTGTATGAGAAGAAAGCAGCATGAGCTGAGAGGTGAACTGAGAGAGATACTGTTGATTGTGACAGAGAGAGAATGTGAAGACAGAGCAGCACAGTGCATTCTCTGCACGTGAAACTGACTTCAAATTTAAATAAGCAGGTCTGAAAAATACCATATAACAAGTGTGTCAGAAAGTATTCTTAAAGCATTTCATCTTGTTGAATCATAAAACCTAATTTAACTTGTTTTCAGGCAGTTTGACAAAAATAAGATTTTTTTTCAGAAGATTGACTTTTTTTTTAAATTCTCATCATTGTAGAAAAATTATTATTGACTGAAAAAGACACAGAAAAAATAGTGTTGTGATTGATTGTCATTTGCAGTACCGTACAGTGTAATCATACAGCATTATTTCTTGGTATATTGGATGTGCCAAGAACTGTCTTGTATTCTGTGTATTAACATTTTAAATAATACACACTCACTAAATTTAAACAAACCGTTTAATGTGCTTCTTGGTGAAAGAGCAGAGAGACTGGATCAGTCAGATCTGTGAGTTATGCAGACTGAGGAAGTGTGCACAGATGCAGCCACCTCTTATAACTGATTTCTAATTACTGCTGCAGGAAAAGGGTGTTCCATGAAAAGATGTAGTTGCTTAAAAAATACCAGATTTGTTTAAAGTGTGGGGGTTTGGTAACTGTTTGACATTTAAAGATGAATCGTCTGCAGCTCTAATGCAGGGAAGATGTATGTAATGGTTTGGAAAGGTTTAGCTGCACTATTACAGAATGTATTTGTCATCTCCTCCTTCTAAAGCCTGGGGCTGTGATCGTACTTATCTGATATGTGAATTGGCAGCAATAATGTCATTTATTCTGCCTCTTCTGGTTATTGTGTTTTACTGAGAATCCACAATCATCAGCGACGGCTTTGTTTCTCCTTATTTTCACTGGGAAGGTCACAGAACTGCATGTTCTATCTACATGTGGATACACTGCTGTATGTATGTGTCCAGAGTTTATATAATCTCAGATGGAACAGATATTTAAACTTTTAGTAAAAGAGCTCTGTGGTTCAAACAGATTGTCAATAGTTGCTAAGCAACTGGAGCCTGTACCAGGTTGAGTGCCTGGTAGGATTCATGAGTGCAGAGCCGAATTGTAACACAGTTAGCCCGGATAATTCATTTACTGACCTGCACATTGATGTTTTCCTCTCTGTTTGTTTGTCTGTGTGTCTGTCTGTGTGTCTGTGTGTCTGTGTGTGTGTGTGTGTGTGTGTGTGTGTGTGTGTGTGTGTGTGTGTGTGTGTGTGTGTGTGTGTGTGTGTGTGACAGTGGAGACGTTACAGGCGCTGGTGAACGGCAGCCTGGGCGGGGCCATGGCCAGCGTCCAGGAGGGAGGAGGCGTGGGGCCAGTGTGTTTGCCCCGTCGGGCTGAGACGTTCGGAGGCTTCGACAGTCACCAGATGCACAGCAACAAGAGTAAGTGTAGGTTGATGTTGCTTTTTTTCCACAGAGAGCACAGTCAGGTCTAGTGGTCAGCCAGGCTACATGTTTGAAGCCTGTCACAGTCAAACACAGTGAACCCACCTGCTGGTCCAGATAACTGCATCCCCTCAATGACTGGACTGCAGATGTGTGCTGTGCTGAAACTGCTGAAAGCCCAGCACGGCAGGAAAAGTAAAATATTTCACTTTCATCCTAAAAACTGATTTTTAGCGGTCACATAACAGCAGGCACCACACCCGGCACTTCCCACAATTCCCCTGCTCAGTGCAGTTAGATAAAACATTTTAGACAGGGGCTTGGACAGTAGAGCTGAAGTTTCCTAGGGGAGACACGGCCTGGGGCGATACCTCTGAACTGGTTGCTTGCTCATAGTGGGACTCTACTGACAGCGTGGCAGATACTGAGCCATGAGAGGTCCACACTTCTACATCAGTACAACTGGTGTGAAACAACAAAAGTGCACGTGCATTTTTATCAGTGTGACGCTTTTAAAGCTACATTTTACCCATTATTTTGTTGAGGAAGCAGACAGAGTAACAGATGTAGACACTGGAGACGATTGAGGTATTATGAAAATGAGATGATATATATGGATTTTGAGTTGTATAAGAATCAACTAAACTACATTGTTGTTTCAGATCAAAGGAGGGCTTAGTGAAGTGAAGAGATTTGATGAGTGGGGTGGGAAGGAAAAGCAAAAGCAAAGGAAAACAAAATGCAAATAATAGTATTATGATAATTAAATGAATACAAAAACAGGTTAAGCATCACTTGCAGATGAGGTATCATATGTAACATCAGCACAAACAGTACAAAAATGTAGGGCAGCACTTTTTCATGTGTGTTAGTAAGTCAAAAAGTCTTCACAGATGACAGGTTAGATCCACTTATTTTACTGGCACAGCGATGAACAAGCAGGTCACGACCTTCAAAAATCAGTGGGTTAGTGGTCACACCATATGTTGTTGCAGACATCAAAACTGTGACTTTATGGGTTATATAAATATATCTCAATAGCTTGACCATCTTAGCTGTAAGTCTGATGTGTTGTATAAACATAAACAGGATCATTTTAAACTACCATGTTTTTAATATGAGAAGAAGTCACCTTTATATTATCTGTACCATGTCTGTTTTTGATTCACAATCACCAGCTTTCCCAAGATGTGCACTGTTACACATAAAACTTTTAAAAAGCGTATCAGTTTTGTTTTATTTATTTTACTTAACTCGTTGTTCCCTTGTGTTGACCCATGTTTGTTGATCTGTTGCCTCTGATATATAACTAATTTGCCTGTGAATTTTGAAGTTGTGTGTATGGACTGGGTAAACTGCACAGGACTGAAATCTTAATCTGAAGAAATGTCTCTGAAATTTCAGCTGTGATTTTGAGTTTTACCTGAAAACATGATTGTTATTTCTTCTTGTGGGTGGTTGTAGAGCTGGGAGTGACCACCTTGAGGCGGCAGTTCATTTGCCTCTTTATCAGTCACTATGCCACTTGTTAATATTCACAGTTCTTATCTTCACTTACCCAAAAATAAGTTTCACATCAAATAAACTACTAGCATCAATGTGCACCTTAACTCTACCAGCCTCGCATGTTCTTTTAGCCTCTCATATAGAAACTGTTTTATCACTTCCGATATTGATCAGTGTTCATTATGCATCTGGGCTCATAATTATACTGGACACCTGTCGACAGATTCTCAGCTGTGTATGAGAAAGTGCAGGAAAGAAAACCAATTGTTATTATGTCATCTTTAAAATGTGATTGCCTTCATCACATGCTCATGTGGCATATTGATTTGATCCTAAAGACCTGGTTTTCAGTTTGTACATTTACTGCGGCCCTGCTCTCGTCTTCTCGTGTTTGTGAACGTGGATCCTCTGCTGCCTGGCTCATCATCTCTCCTGTGGTTTCCCTTTATGTCAGGTGGAGACAGAGACGAGGGCGAGGATACGGTGGGAGATCTGCGCAGGACGGAGTCTGACAGTGTTTTAAAGAAGGTCAGTATCCCAGCAGCCAATTATTCTTGAATCTGAAAGCGCTACGCCCCCTCGCCTCAATGAGAACTTGAGGCCATGTATGGGGGTGTATTTGTCCTCCAAAATTAACAGTACCATTAAGATGAATTTAGCCACTTCTCTCCCTCCAGTGAATTAGCCTCTTGACTTATCCTGCCAGGTCCCGTTGCTAATGGCGACTATCAGTTGTGTAAGAATTCAATAGTGGATGGAAATGAATGGGCCGCCTTAGGTGTTGCTATTGGAGTCCTGCACTGGAGGCTCGCCTTTGCAGTCGTTTATCCTGCATGTATCCAGCACATAATTGTTTCTTGAATGTTTTAGTAGAGCGAGCTGCTGTAGTGTGCAGTCCTGTCTCTGAACATAGACACATAGGCTGTTACGTATAAACTGAACAAGAGAGAAGTGCCAGATTTTTCTATCCTGGGCATGGAGCAAAAGTTCAAAGAGAGTTCAGCGTTTAAGAAGGGAGTATGAGCAGGAGTCAGAATCATCATTAAAAATACAACACAGAGCTAATTCAAGCATTTTCTCTTCCATTCACATTAGTCTATGTTTTTTTTTTTGTAAATGGAAAAAAGATTTTTCGAGATGTTTAGCTCCTTGTAATGCAACAGCTGCAGGATTGCTGTATTACTGCACCAGTTGTGCACAATCACAGCCTGATACAATTAGAATCTTGCAGCACACCCAAATGCACAGCTATAATCGCATTCATATTCATACTGTACTCTATTCACTCTCCCGTACACTGACTGTACACACACATGATGCAACCCACCAGCAGATGTGTGTATATGAGCTCTGGCTGTACTCAGTGTGTGTTTGTGTTTATGTGCAGGGAGGAAACGCCAACCTGCTGCTGCTGCTGAAGAGGAACAGTGAGGTAACTCTGACTTCCTGTCTCTAATTAAATTAGAGCTGCTGTTTACATGGAAACAGTCAAAACTCTGTGTCAACATCATTGTTATCAGCATCAATAAATGTATTAGCTCAGACAGTAGTAGTTCATATACTGTAGATGTTTGTGTTAGTAGTATTAGATGTTAGTATTATTCGAAGCACACAAGAAGAAACAAAAATTCAATCAAACTGATAGCAAACGCACGTGGGAAGCAAACTGTAAAGGCAGGAGTCATTTAATAAAAGTGTGTCCATAAGAGTGAGCTTTACGAAGAGTTTTAATGAAAAATAAGATGGAAATGAATTATGCATGAGAACAGAGCAAGCTTCCTAAGCAGTGCAAGTAAGATAGCAGTAGAACTCAGCAAGATGAAAAAGTAAGGCAGACAAACCACATTAATGCATCAAAATTCTTCTGAAAGGTCATCCATAACACCTACAGTTAATATATAAAATATATGGTTTACATCCTATTCTAACACGGTAAAGTTGAAAAAATTGTTAAATGTGAAATGCGTCCACTCCCAGTTGTCAACATTTAATTTCACACAGTACACAACAGTGTTACCAGTGGTACCAGTGGTACCAGTGTTTGATAAGAGTTTCAGTAAATCAAATTTCACAAAAAGCGATGAAAAAATGCTGAACACACAGTAATTCTGGTACTTTTGGCTTCAATGTAAACAAAAACAGGTTTATTTAATAGAATGCAATAATATAATACAAGATGTAAGTATAAAATATTAACCTACAAAAGATACTGGAATTGCACAATCTGATTATTTATTTCCCTTTGTTATACAGACCTCAGTGTTGTGTTTCTGTATGATAACACAACACCTCCTGCAGATCTGCTGTTTTATAAATGCTATTTTGTGCAGTTCCCGGTGAATGTTAATTGGAACATTTTGTGTCTTAGTAAACACTGGTGACAGCTGAAAGCTCCATGGCCTTGTCTCTTTCTCAGTGTTTAATGGAGAAAAGGTCACATCACGGTAAACTGTGAAGTTGTAGTGTTTCACGCTGGCTTAGTCCTGCACTGGTAGATTCATATCACATGAAATCCACTGCTAGCACTGATTAAAATGATGCACAACTATTACTCATTTCATATTTTAACAAGCAATGACTCAAGTGCAGCAATAAGCCGAGGCAACATCCGACAGACAGTTTTCTCCTGCAGGATTTTTCATCTCATCTAACAACAAGAACAGAGATGATGTTTTGAGGTTAAATGATACTCAGTGGTTTCTCTTTTCCCAACAGCAGGTCCTTCACAGTGTCTCCAATCTGCATCTCCTGCTCAGCACTCTGCAGGTAACATACTTTGCGTACGATATGCCCATGCGCTCCAGATCAGACTTAACATGATGCAACACTGTGAAGCTTTTTGCTGTCAGTGTGAATTTGAAAACCTCGCTTCTTGTGTGAAAGGAAGAAGGAAAAAAAACATGAGACTTTAGACGCTCTGTGGTGCAGTATGAGCATAGCAATATAGACAGAGAAAATAATAATAATAATGTCTTGAAAAATGTAGCCAAATACCACACAATAGCAGGAGGGGTGTGTCTGACCTAATCTCCATGGGATGTGAATCTGGTCCTGTCTAATCTAGGCGGTGGTGGTCCAGCAGGACAGTTTCATAGAGGACCAGCGGCAGGCCCTGAGCGAGCGCTCCTCCTCCTGCACGTCTTTATCTCGGCCATCCTCGCGGCCCAACTCCCTGATTGAGCAGGAGAAGCAGCGCAGCCTGGAGAAGCAGCGGCAGGAGGTGGCATCCCTGCAGAGACAACAGGCAGCTCACGCTGAGGAGAAGAGGAGGAGGGAGAGGCAGTGGGAGCTCAGGGAACAGCAGCTGACTGAAAGGGAGATGCTGGTGCACGTGCAGGTAACAATGCATCATTTTCTACTTGCTCTGTGCATTGTTCTGTGTTTCTATGCAGTTGTAAGTCTTAGTAGTCAGGTTTTTGCAATAATTCACCTTGCACTGTATATTATGATAAATAACATTGTAGACTTGTGCCAGGTGCTCAGGGTTTCCTGTAGTGCTCTGTAGTGATAGCAGGGGGCCTTCAAAAATATCCCTCTAACTAAAAAACCCTAAAAACAATCCTCAACTGTAAGTGTAGTTGCACTGAGATCAAAGCTGCACGATCAAATTTAAACTGAGGAGGATGCAAAGACGTTGCATCCTTCTCAGTTTAGTGCAATATCTAACAATAAGCTTAGAGCTAGCATTACTATCTCAGGTTCTTGGCTTCAGAAGATGCCGATGACTTGTGATTGGCTGAAAAACAAGGTAGTATGGTCTTCCTGTGAATAACTGCAGTGTCATTTTGAAGCCGCTCTCATTGCACAAGCATTCTGCTGTATTTACATTTGTCTTGGCTCAGTTTACGCGTCAGATTCTCAGTTTGCTGCAAAGAGCTAAACTCACTTGCTAAATTCTGACCTGTAAACACAAACTGCTGCAGTGCGAATAAAAAGCAGGGAGAAGAAAAGCACTCTCTATCATTTCTGTAACTTTCAAAATGTTAACAATAATCAAAGATGTACTGAGTGTCAGTTACAGTAGAGTAAACTAACACAGGCCTCCCAGCCTCACAGCGTCACTGTAGCTTATCATAGATGATTAAATTTACAGGTGAATGAAATAAAAATTGTCAACGTTTGAGGTTGTTGCAGAACCGAAAATGTAGAACAATCATAGCACCATATTACACAGAGGAGTAAAGTCTTTTTAGATTTTGTCAAAATTTACAGTAATACAGAACATATAGTAACATAATGAAAGTTCTTTTACTCTGCATGGTTTCAAATACAAACTTCTGCATACATGGCACATTGTATCATCTTGAGAAAATGACCACGGCAGACTCTAATTTGATTAGAATTAATTACTGCATGATTATTGATTCATATGATTATTTTGAAATGCAACAGTGATTCGGAGACCTACAGACCTGTCCCATCAATGTAATGTACAACGATGAAGGAACTTCCTTTTCAGTATCTGAGACCATGCCATGTCTTTGTCCTGAATCATTTCAATAAATCCATCAATGCACCTCTCAACCACTGCAGGAGGAGGATGTGCTGAAGCAGCACAAGGAGCTGGAGGTGGAGAAGCAGGAGCTGCAGAGTAAGAAGGAAGAGTACCAGAAAGACCTGGAGAGGCTGAGAGACGCCCAGAGGAAGTTGGAGAGGGACAGGGAGGCCGTGCAGCGGCAGCTCGAGAAGATGGAGGAGCTCCGTCTGGCTGAGGTGAGCGGGGACATTTTTAAAATCATAACAATAATAATAACATCATCTGTTGCTCCCTGCGCTGCAGGGGAACACTCACCGAGCTGGGAGGGGCTCAGTGTTTCACTCAATGACACTTCAGCAGGGTTGATGTTTATGGATACTTATATAGGAGGCTTGAACCCGGGTCCTCTTGAAAGTGAATTCAAAAGTGCTCTTGACATTCAATTACTGAGCAAACCAACTATCCAAACAGCAGGGTTATGTTTCCAGGTTTTTATGCCTTGAAAAAAGAATATCCCGCACACCGCTGCTGCTCAGCTTCACAGTTCACATTTTGGTCTCTTTCAAACTTTCCTTTTCCACCATTAAACCATTTTCTGTGAACATTTATGCTCATGTTTTATTCAGCATCAACTTAGAAAAACATAAAAATCTGAACCTTGTCCTACATATTCATTCACAAATGTAGACAACAGCTGTTCACCTGTCTTAACCGACCGCCTTTACTTCCAGAGGACTCCCTCGACGACATCTGATGAATCCCAGTTCCCCGGCAGCTCCCAGTCTCTGGAGCTGGACCCACTGGAGTTCTCCTCCTCCTCCTCCTCCTCCTCCCTGCCCAGGCTTCAGCCCCAGCAGTCCAAGCCCAAAGGAAAAGGCCTCAATCCCTTTACCTCATCCTCCACTAACGCCAACCTCAAGGGCAGTGAAGCCAACAGCCAGATCTCAAAGAGCCTGCTGCAGCTGGCCAAGAGCAAGAACAAGGAGGGGAAGGAAAAGAAGAAGAAGAAGGGCAAAGGAGGGAGTGCACAGACAGCAGGTAAAGAATGAAGGGGGGGGGTTTACATTTAGTTTAATTATGCAGTGTCTTATATTGAGTCAGCAGGGTGGAGCGCAGTGTTTTTGTCAAGGACACATGATGTTTGATTATCAGAGAAAGAGGAGATAGGCAGCCAAAAAATGGGTGATGGCTTTGACTTCAGTGACTGGCAACAAGCCCTAAATTCAATAAGTAATTTGACTGTGTTGTTATGAAAATATTGTCTATAAAAGTTTATGTTTGATCTGGTTGTTTTATCCCATTTTTTTTTTTAGCAATAGTAGATAATACTGTATATTCAATCATTTTAATTTTACAAATGTAAAGACTATTAAATGTAATGTAATATAATTCAAAGCTCATATGAAAGCATTATGCAAACACAGTTGCTCATTCACATACAGTACACCTATGTTTTACATAGGGATTCACATATAAGCACAGATGTTTCCAGATGTTTTATTTGTGCTAAAGACAGAAACCATAAAATCAGAGTTACATTTTCAATAAACCAGGTGTATATGTATATGTAGCCTTTAAAAGATATGTGTTGCTGAGTGACACTGTGACCCTTATCTTCAACAGTGTAGTAATAATAACATCATCGTCTGTTCAGCCTGTCACTGTCGTACAGCCCGGTGATGCATTTTAAAGAAACGTGGCTTCTGAGTGTCAGCTTGCATCACACTTGCTGCTTTATCTTTTCTGTCTCCTTTATCTCGGAGTGACTGTAACCACAGTCCACTCTGCTGCACGCTCACCTGGGCCCTGTGATGTTTCAGTTATCCAGCTATCTTTGGGCTTTAGTCAGGTTTGCTGGGGTCACGAAGGTGGCTCACTTTTAACCGGGGCAGAGGATCAGAATAGAGCCCGTCAACAGCCCAACTACTGACCAGTCAGATCGCTGGAAAAAACGGAGTCATTCTACAGGATCCCAACAAGGACAAAAGAGTTTACAAATTAGGTGAAAAAGAGAGAGGGAGAGATTTTTGCTGTTCCAGGTTTTCCATCTGTCCAATCTGGTTTGAAAACAGAGCTTCTAACAAACAGAGGGAGAGTTTACAACTAAATAACTGCATGATCATTATAGCCGAATTTTCATTTAGCTTTAAGATTCTTTTATTTCTGATGTTTTTTCCTGATGCTTTTACTCTCTAATGCCACCGCTGCAGCTCAGGATAACATGAAGAGACTTCGAAATGATAACGGAAAATAAAAACTAAACTCTACGTTGTCCTTTTGTTAGAATAATAATCCACACACTGTTGACTATATCCTGTGATTATAAATACAACCTGCCAGTCAGATTGATGCATGTCTAGATGTGAAATGATGGCTCCGGTGTGAGCAGCGAGTACAGCACATTGAGCTGCTCACTGAGGCAGATTTAGTCAATTCTTTAATGGATCTCAATGGCAGCACCGTGCACTGTGGTAAGAGCTTGATCAATATGAAGCAGGTTGATTCTGCTCACTAAACATCCCTGGAGAATAAATGTTACAACAAATCAGCAATCACACTCGTCATACAGTAACAGTGACGGTGACACTGACTCTTTCTCCTCTCTTCCTTCCAGACCCCCAGCACCGCCCTGAGCCTCCTCTGGATGGAGAGATCTTCTTCTGCTGAGGGAAGTGGCTCTCCTCCTCCTCCTCCTCCTCCTCCTCATCATCATCATCAACCCATCAACCCATCAGGCCAGCCCGACATGCAGAGGAACGTGTTATTGCTGAGTGGTAACATGCATTACTGCAGCTTGTTACCAGGCTTTTTTGGCACCTTTGAAAGCATCTTAGTTCACTTCATAACGTAGAGCAATTTAACATTGCGTGCAAGAAAAAGAGAAAATGTGTGCTTTCTTGCATGTTTAAATCAAACACCACTTCTTGTAGTTTTCTGGAGAGCAGAATATTTTAGAGATTCTGATATCGTGTGCACGTAGGCATACACACACTTGCAGTACTTTAAAATAGGGAACATGGATTAGCTGTGCGCTTTTGGGTATTCTGCGCAAAAAACCCCATTTCCTTTTCCAAAGAAGTCATTATGAAGCATTTTGGAGTAAAATATACATTTGTGAAAGCTCTGTATTACAATGAAAGCATTTCACAGTGGATTGTCACTGTGAAAGTTCTACCAATTATGTTATGGGCCTGACTGCCTTCCTGTTTTCATGTCTCTTATGGCCAACAACCACCCCCCCCCCCCCCCCCCCCTTTTTTTTTTCAACTGTCCGTCCTGGCATTAAGTCCCACACCAACACGCTGTTATATTCATTTACAAAATGAAGCAGGGCTGCTTCCATGTGGCTTTAACCACACATAAAAAGATACACACACACATCTAAATGCCACTTGGAAACAGATATGAATGTCAACAAGCTCGCTGTGGCACTGGAAACGCCTCACTCCTCCTCATCTTCATTGATAATAGACTGAAACCACGGAGGGAAAATCTGCCTAAACTCTGTGTCCTTTGTGCATTTCTTAATCAATGTTTTCAGTGTTTTCTTTCCAAAATGTTTCCGTATAAATCCACGCTGACAGAAAACTGGAACCCTGACATTCCTTTACTCGCGATTTGAAAAGCAGATGTGATTACATGTTCGAATTTTGTCTCCGGTTTGTAAGCAAAGTGGAATTGGCACATGATAACTTCAGTTAACTCCAGCGATCCTCTGTAATGATTTTATGCCATCAATCATGTTCCTTGCTGAGGTTTTAATTTATTTGAATTATGGATATCTCCATTTTGGAGTGAAACTCTTCAGATGTGCGTGTCTATTTTTCCAGACTCAACAGTAATGAAAGGAATGAGACATATCTCCCTGTGTATAATGGCTCAATTCATATCCTTTAGTGTGTTTTAGAGCCTTGGATGGATATTAGCTTGATCCTCACTTATCTGCCTGTCAATGGGCTTTTATGCAGCCATCATCTTTCATCTGAGCGCCGACGAGCAGGGCTTTCCTTCGTTTTTTTTTTTTAATTGCATATGACTCCGCAGGTAGCATGCTAATGGCCTCTGTCTGATAAATAGTTTAGCTTTCTCTTTCAACCTCCCTCTTTTACCTCTGATTATAGACTCAGTGGACGCACACAGCTGATGGTTTTAGGAAATGGAGGCTGTTAATTTAGGGACAAAGCAGCTGGTTAGAGAAGATGAGAAAGGACATTAACTAAAAACAGATGATGTTATGTTTTCCTGTTTAATGACGAAACCTGTCTAACCCAGTCTCTGATCATTTCAAATTAATCAACACACATCAGTGTTGTTAAGCACTTTGGTCCTAATATGTTGATTTTTTTTTAATTTAATGTGTGAGTGTGTGTGTGAGTGTGTGTGTGAGTGTGTGTGTATTATCAGTATGGAAGATCAAACGAGGAGATCTTTGTATTATGTGGATTTTTGTAATTTGATGCTGATGAAAAGCAACAATGATCCAAAGCCAGATAATTGGTTAAAGTACATAAAAGATGCTGCGGCTCCATTTTGTTAGTGTGTAAAATTAAAACGGGGCAGGTAGCTTTTATGTAATGTTTCCAAGGTAACCCGTAAGCCTATGTTTCAGCCCCACTAACCCCATAGTGGGCCACACAGCTACCTGCTGGACAGGTAGGAAATAAAAGCAGAAGACAAATTTAAAAAAAAAAAAAAAAAGAAGAAGTCCTTGCTTTTCCAGTGAATAACAGAGCAGCGTCACTGATCTGCTTCCTTTTTGCCTCTTTTGTCTAACGTTTAAGTGCTTGATTGTTAACTCGCTGTCTGTGTTGAGGATTTGACTTCCTGTCCAGGCCGGTTTATCATAGTGTGTCTTCTAAGAGGCTTTAAGGACCGGCCCATTAGTTTCTTCATGTCTTTTGTTTATGGTGTTGGTGTAATCCTGTCAAAGAAACAGAGGAATGGGCTTATTTTTTCTCAGTTGCTTCAGGTGTGTTTTGACCACTAGGGAGCACTGCACCTATGACTAAATGAGTTCCGTCCTTTACACATCAACAACAACCAAAAGTATGAAACTGATTTGTTTTTTTATTTTTATCTTCATATATGTATATTCTCCCCACTGTGCAAAATTAACATATTTTTCTCAGCAGGTCATTGCCATACAGAGATAATGTGATGAGCGTGGGCTCTCATACTCTGACAGTTTCCCCACGGTATTTGTAATTGACTGCAGAAACAAATAAGTTGTCAGAGATTGTAATTGGTTATTCAGTGAAACCAGTCAGCAGCAGCTTTAATATGAAAAAAAGAAGGTGTAACGGTTGGAGCGAGCGACCGGGCAGAACCACAAACCTCTCTTTGTAAGGGACAATCAGCTGACGCGAGTCAGAAAAAATGAACTCCTTTCCCCCGATGATGATAGGCCTGTCCATGAGACGAGTGTGTCCATCAGGTGAACCCTGCGTAGCCTTAAATCTTAATGATAAAATGCACTAGAGTAGAACCTAGCATCTTCTCAGGAGATAGAGGAGAGCTTTTATACCTCTGCTTTGAAACGAAGGAAATGTTTGTACTATAAAAATGGTACACAACTGTTGTATTCTACACAATGTAAAAAAAGGGCAAATGTGTAAATATGATTTCTGTATAAAAAAAAAACAAACAAATGTAAAAAATGAATTGTTTCATTTGTGATTCAATGCAACATTTTGTAATAATGTTTTATTTATGTTTTATTTTCACCCTCGGGGTGATAAACAATGTAAAGTCACATTTCTCTCATAATAAAAAGAAAAAAAAATAATGGACATTGAAAGTGTTGGTTGTGTGTTCATGGCTGTCATTTGTCTCCAACAATAATTTAAAAAAAATGTAGTATGTATGTATAGTTACATAATACATAATAGTTACATGCTCCATGTGTACTTGATATGCTGATATATTGTATATACACTGTGTTACCAGTATATTCTAATGACACACAAGCTTCTCTTCACAGAGGAAGCCTATCAGTGGTCAAAACATTGTCAAACATTGTCAGTCCTTATGAAACACAGTAAGAGAGAAATTACAGGATGCACATGATTTATTTCTACTTTTTTAAAGTGCTTCCATAATTGTTGCCCAGCACTTGCAAAGTGCTTATGGGTGATTTTGTGAAACGAGATAGCTGAAAACATTTGGTGAATAAAGCGGGTGCTTTCATTTTGATGTTCAGGTGCCTTTTGGAAACGGTGTCTGATGCAATCATGTTGTTACAATGTTCCATATGATTCCAAATGATTCCAAATGATTCCAAATGATTCCAAATGATCAGCATATGGCTTCTCTGTGCTCAGAGCTCCTCTCTTACATGCCTCTTTCTGTGGTGATTTCTAATTCAACACAAACTACAGAGCCTGCATGAAGTGTTTACACCCCTTTGGACATTTTCAAGTTTTTGGAACTGAAATGAAAATTAAAAGTGGACAGAAAGGAAAATCTTCAACTACTTTGCTAAGTCATGCCTCATAACTCATGGGTAACACCCTTATTCCTTTATTTCTATCTAGCTATCTATCTTGCTTGTTTTACAGCATTTAATTGGATTTAATGCAACTATTTTCAAACTGAAAAAAACCCTTTCATATCAATTAGAAAACATATCTCTACAAAGTGATGTCAGTTAATTCCAAATATAGTATTCAACCCGTGCCAAAGGTGCGTTTAGTAGATAAACCCATTTTCTTCTTTACAGAACAGCTCAAGCTCCATCACGTTCAGGTTGCACGGAGATCAAGTGAGTCAAGTGCAGCCACAAATTCTTGATTGCTTTGAGACCACTGGAGGAATAATACATCCCATATAATACCAGACAATATCCGCTGACATGATCAAGATCTTAAAATCAGTGTTAGACACACGGCATCTCAAGGCCGTGGTCTGGGTTGGTAATCAAACCTTCCATAAGTGTAATTTTACTTTGTGTTTCTGTTCTGATCTGTATTCCAGTCCTAACTGAGTTTTTTTGTACTTGTTTTGTTTTCGACACCTTATTACAGTGAAAACAATTCTTCTCATTAATCCACCTTTTTGTTCCAGAGGCAATTAAATTGCTATCACTAAATTCTGTTAATGGTTTGATTTTCTGTTCCCATTAGTGGCTGTATTGCTGTTTGAGCACCAGCGCCAGAGGAAAAAGTTGACAACAATCTTGATGGATTGACAGCAGTGCAGGCGCACGGCAGCACACGTACTTGCTGATAAATAAAGAACCAGCTGCTTTAATCTCTGCGCTCTCTACGCTGCTGCAGAGAGTGTTCTGCCTGCTCAACCCTGCAGTGTTTTGCCTCTGGAAACCTCGACTGTGGAGTTTTCTCAACATATTTTTTTTCTTAACTGTAGGATCTTGTACGCCACACCAGGTTCATCAAAATCCCATCTCTCCTCATTGCTGCCCAGCTCCAACTTATCATCTGAACCATGGGATTTAGTTTCATCCCCTTCAAAAATATTTCTCCACTCTGCTCATTCAGCATATAAACCCCAGAGACAAAACATCACCTGATAAGACCAAACAGGGAATCAGTAGCTTGATAGGCTGCAGTGTAAATTTTGTTTGTTGGACCACAACACTGTAAAAGTTGTCTTATCTCTTTTTAGAGTATTCCCACCAAATAAAAGTCATATAGCTGCAATTTTGTGAGAGTGAGATGCAATGGCAGAAAGCTGGATAGCCTCATCTGCTTCTGGTTGTCATGGCGATGGGGGATACTGAGACACAGCGGGCAAGCTAAACGATGAAAGGAGAGACAGAGTGGGAAGGAGGGGCAGAGGAAATAAAATCATGCCTGTATAATTACTGCAAATTAAAAAATTCCAACACGTCCTACAATAAGGAAAGAAAGTGCGTGCTAGACTTGATAAGTTTGTAGTGCTCTAGTGAAGAATGACAAACAGTAGTGAGTAGCATGATATATTCTCAGTGCTACAGCGGTCCGTCTTATCAAAGCATCAGCACTTTCCTGTACACTGTTCTATCACAGAATAAGCTCCAATTTCACTTAAGAGATGGTCTCTCTGCAGCTCTTTGCGCTCACAGGGCTCAGAGCTTAGCAGGTCGAGGTCATCTAGTAGATATGAAGGCTATTAGGACCATCAGCAGTTAAGAACACTCTTCTTCTACACCTAAGAAGTCCGCTGTGTCCTGAAGAAGCCCTCAGATTTCTTAGATACTTAGGTAACACTAGAAATGCTGCAATGAAAAAACACAATACCAGACA